GCTTGGAATGAAACAAGAAATTAAAAAACCGACTTCTCGAATATATTACTTATTTGCATTAAAATGTAGCTGTATCATTTACATAGTGAAGACTATCATTTATAAGGTACAGGATAGTTGTGCTGCTGTATCATTCGTACGGTGATGATTTTTACTTATATGTTGTTGATCACCATTTATTCCGTGCTGATAATCATTTATATAATGATAATTTATATGTAAAGGATCATTTGTATATGATGCTGATTCTCATGTCGCTGATGATAAATTGCGTTATGTCGTTGATATCAATGTCGCACATTATCGGTAATTTAAATATGTTTCAAATAGATTTGTTAAATCAAAATTGCAAGAATATTTGATGGTTTACGCACTGAAATTATTCTACTTTTTTAAGCCATTATACTGCGTTTCCGAAGAGCGCTTAATGTTAAATTATTATCAAACTAATTTAATGGTTATTCTAATATAGGAATATCAGACATGGATTTCGTCAATTAAAACGAGAAGACATTATTTCAATATAAAATATCAATGACATTCTGGTTGATAATTCTAAAGAACTTAATTTTTATCTGCAAGTTTTATAGGAGATGAAAAATTTTCACAGGATCCCATAGCTATAGATAATTTTCATGCTTTAATATTGCATATTATTCAAATTACCTACGTCCTATACGTGATTTTATAGGGTAGCTTTTGACACAATTTTCCAATTATAAACACGTTTTGAAGTTTTGAAGGTAGAACCTGAACTTCTAATTACATTGCGATGGCCGTTGCCGCCTGAGAGGTTCTGGAAATTTTACATGGGGCTTAAGCCATGAGCTGTTGTAAGGTCAGGGGCCATACTTTCAAAACTCGCTAAGTGAACGTAAGTACTTACGCTCTATTTTCTTGTCTATGATTGGTGGATTTTGCTTGAAAGGCCGTCAATGATTGGCTGATGAACTTACGATCTCTTAACTTTTTTTGAAAGTATAGTGAACGTAAGTACTTACGCTCTATTTTCTTGTTCATGATTGGTGGATTTTGCTTGAAAGGCCGTCAATGATTGGCTGATGAACTTACGATCTCTTAACTTTTTTTGAAAGTATGGGCCCAGATCTAAAGCTCCTACAAGTAAGAAACTATGTGCGAGGAACTTGGTTGAGATTTAAACAAAGTTTTTCGGATTTAAAATCATCAATGCGACACTATCCTTCAATTAAATGGGGTACTTAATATCGAGTAGCCATGATATTGTTAGTATGAATATAACGAGGTTGTTTACTTGAGAATTTAAATATTTAAAATCCATACTGTTACATCACCTATTATAGTCAGCACTGTATCAGAAATTGTCAGTGAGAAATTTGTTTCAAATGGTGCGAATTTAAATTTAGTCTTCGAAATCTAACGAATTGTAAATTTATGATTAATATCACCTAAATACTATAAATAAATTTTCCACTTTTGCATGCTTACATGTTGATAGAATAAAGAAACTTCGTGGACCTTGTATGGTTCCAAGTAATTTACAATTCACAGTCAAACAGAAGATCTTATTTCAGACTTGTTTTTCAGGTGCCACTTATTTCTGCATGAAACAGGCTTCAGTTTAACGCACATCCAAGCGCAGCACATCAACCAACACCACGGTATATTACAGATTAATTTTACAACTATGTCTTCTGCAAACTGTGCTTAATTGGTGCTTAAGAATTCATCTCGTCGGGACATAAATTTCAATCAGTAATTAGCGACCATGATGACGACAAACTGTTGATCATGTAAGAACATAAAGAATAATGAAATGATTAGATATATATTTCGAGGAAGCTGCTCCGTCGATGTTGTTACATATTAGCATTGTTGTTAAAAGAATGCACCATTAAATAATAATTCAAGCAACGCATCTGCCACTATCAGTTAAGTAGAGCAACAATGCTAACTCGACTAAGAATCACGTTGTAAAATTCTGTTCATTACTCAACAGCGAGAAATTGATAAATAATAAAACAGAGTTTAGGTCTGCAATCGAGGACACAGCTAACGAGCATTTTTCAAGTTGTTTATCTTAATTATAGGATGTGAGTTCTGGTTAATCCTAGTTGTAGGATGCAAGTTGTGGTTAATCCTAGTTGTAGGATGCGAGTTGTGGTTAATCCTAGTTGTAAGATGTTAGTTGTGGTTAATCCTACTTTTATAGGATAAAGTTTGCAGTTAATCCTAAGACGGCACTCACATCAATAGACCAAAAATAAGCAGTGTCCAGCGTTATTCGCAATTATGCCGTTGAAGTACTACCGAAATGCAATGTAATTATAGCTTATAATTGGATACTGATGGACGAATACTAGACATTAATATCAACTTTTCATCAAGACGAATAACCCAAAATATATGAACAAAATAAAATGTGTAGTCCATTAATTTGCTTTGCGTCATAGACACATTTATGACACAATTTATTTATTCCTCAATGACCTATTTTTTGGAAGGAAAACGTATTTATTGTTTTCAGAATTTTTTTAAAGAAATATGCATATATGTTCAACTATCATTATTCATTAATTCCGTTTTTTTTCATCTAACGGGTTTCATGGTCTTTGATTTGAAGGTCTTTCTTTAAGATTTATGTCTCAATTTTGCCTGCTTGATCTTTATTTACTTTAATTATACCTTACCCTGCTTTTGATAAACTTATTTACCATTCAAACGCATGTTATCTATGTGATCGAGCCTTGATTCTCTCCCAAAAACCAACCTCCTTACCCCAAAATCTCCCTCATCACAGTTGCTTTATCTCGTGCTCCCTGAGCTGAGTGTTGTCAGTCATCTATACCTCCATACGAAGCAGGAATTGATTGGCTTTGCCATCTGATTGACAATTTGCGTCAAAGATCTTTTATATTCAAGAAACTCTGTGAAGCTTGTCAATATTTTTGAACTGCGAGCTGGTCGCAGACCTGAAGCTGTTGGATGTTCCTTATTGAAAACATGGTCCAGCAACCAAGTGACAGATACGGGCAGGTAGAATGATTTTCGAAAAACTGTAGCTTTTGAAATTTTTTTTTGAAATTTTGAGCATCGGATGTGCTTTAAATTCATATATTTTGTGAACAGAAAATACATTAAGTAAATAAATTAAAAGGAAACATCACTTGAGGTTAAGTTTACACTTGAATTAATACCAAACAAAAAATGCGACTAAAGTTAACAAATAAAGTTGAATAAATATCTTGAAACGGCATAATATTAAAAAAAACATGTATAAATGCAAGAGAATCTATTAAAATAGAAAATATCCTAGTTCACAGGAGGAGAGAGTTTACAGGAGAGTCAGTATTTCGAAATTTGGAAAACTCCGTAGAATTTATTCGTTCGAGGAAATAATCATAATGCTGAATAGTTTAAAATTATTCAAAAATCGAAATCCTCAATTTATTATAAACCTCAAAATAGATAAATTAAATCACAATTTACGAGTTACGTTAAAACTCTATGTAATTTAACCTACATATATAAGAGTATGTATGTTTGGTTAAAAATATGGTTCCGCAGTTGCAAAATAGAAAATGATCAGGTAATGGCATAAAACTTGTAGAGGGTCATAATGAATATATTACGCTTATTATGAGTATGATACCGGGAGAGCGTTATAATCTATCAGATCTTCTTAAGTGAATTAACAGCACATGGTTCCATGTACTTGAAGTCGACAAAATTCAGTAAAGTGAAGTTAATATGGTGATAAATAGTTGACAGAAGTTCAACCAAGAGAAGTTAATATGATGATAAATAATTGACAAAATTTCAGCCAAGAGAAGTTAATATGATGATAATTAGCTGGCCAAATATCAGCCAAAAGAAATCAATGTGATGATAAATAATGACTAAATGCCAGTGACAGACAAGTCAATATGTTGATAAATCTCATCTTAAATATTACATGATGCAAGAGACGCTCGAGTGAATGATCCTGAACATTTGTACCAGTGGAAAATGTTTCCCGCCTCAGCAATCCAGTTTTCAGCTTGACCTAAGAGTGTGAATTACACCTGTTTCAGCTTGACATAAGAGTGTAAATTACATCGTTTTCAGCTTGACATAAGAGAGTGAATTACACCTGTTTCAGCTTGACATAAGAGTGTGAATTACACCTGTTTCAGCTTGACATAAGAGTGTGAATTACACCTGTTTTCAGCTTGGCATAAGAGTGTGAATTACACCTGTTTCAGCTTGACATAAGAGTGTGAATTACACCTGTTTTTGGCTTGACATAGAGTGTGAATTACACCTGTTCAATAAATTGCACACAAGCACATGTGTAAAGTGGAAAGAGTGAAATTTCCCTTTGAAATTTCGAGTGTCGAATGTGTTTTAAATTCATACATTATTGTAAACAAAAAATGCTTTAAGAGTTTAAGTAAATACATTAAACGTAAATATCACTTGAAGTAAATACGCTATATACAGGCTGCTTAATTAGGATGTGCAGTTTAATTGTTGATTTGAGCTTCGTGTACAAACGAGCAGCAAAATTATTTTTACTTCAAACATTGAATTCAATTCTACAATAAATTACCGAAGCGCATTTTAATTAGTTGTTGCCATTGAAAGCAAAATTCACTTTGTAAGCTGATTTAAAATTCTAATTTGGAGACTTCTCTCATTATTTGTTGAGCTCGGCCAAATCATGAAACTTCACCAGTGCATATATATATTATATTATTCACCAGTGCATATATATAGTTCACCTTCACCCTGTGCATATATATAGCCTTCTACATGTCATAGGCATGATGGAACAGCATTAGAATTTTCAGATTGATTTAAAAATTGTGTTTTCGAAATGCCCTGAAGGCTATTTTGATCCGGTCGTTGCTCTCAGCCCCGGGAATATTGACGAAATTCCAATTAACGTTGACATCTCAGACGGCTCTCAGACGACCAAGGAATTCTGGCTTGAATTCTCGCATCTTAGAGCCTCCTGAGCCTGACATGCATTAATTCAGCCCACTCTCTTGCCCTCTCAACCCCACTCTGTCCTCACCGACCACTCTAACCCTCTCACCCTGCTCTGGTTCTCTCAATTCCGCTCTGCCATCAACGACCACTCTAACCCTCTCAATCCTACTCTGGTCCTCTCAACCCCACTCTGCCATCACCGACCACTCTAACCCTCTCAATCCTACTCTGGTCTTCTCAACCCCACTCTGCCATCACCGATCACTCTAACCCTCTCAACCCTACTCTTGTCCTCTCAACCCCACTCTGTCATCACCGGCCACTCTAACCCTGTCAACCCTACTCTGGTCCTCTCAACCCCACTCTGCCATCACCGCCCCCTCTAACCCTCTCAACCCTACTCTGGTCCTCTCAACCCCACTCTGCCATCACCGATCACGCTAACCCTCTCAACCCCACTCTGGTCCTCTCAACCCCACTCTATCATCACCGACCACTCTAACCCTCTCAACCCTACTCTGGTCCGCTCAACCCCACTCTGCTCTCAACACCCACCCTAACCCTCTCAACCCCACTCTAGCCCTCTCAACCCCACTCTGCCATCACCGGCCACTCGAACCCTGTCAACCCTACTCTGGTCTTCTCAACCCCACTCTGCCATCAACGTCACTCTAACCCTCTCAACCCTACTCTGGTCCTCTCAACCCCACTCTTGCCCTCTCAACCCCACTCTGCCATCACCGGCCACTCTAACCCTGTCAACCCTACTCTGATCTTCTCAACCCCACTCTGCCATCAACGCCACTCTAACCCTCTCAACCCTACTCTGGTCCTCTCAACCCCACTCTGTCACCACCGACCACTCTAACCCTCTCAACCCTACTCTGGTCCTCTCAACCCCACTCTGCCATCACCGACCACTCTAACCCTGTCAACCCTACTCTGGTCCTCTCAACCCCACTCTGCCATCAACGTCCACTCTAACCCTCTCAAACCCACTCTAGCTCTCTGAACTCCATTCTTATCCTATGAACTTCATTCTGACCCTCTGAACCTCACTCTTTAGTCACTGAACTCCATGATGTCCCTCTTTACCCCACTATGACCCTTTAAACCCCACTCTGACTCTCTGAACCCCACTCTTAGTCTGTCAACCCCATTTTAACCCTCTTTAAACCCCCACTCGATCCGCCCTCACCGACCACTCCGTCCTCGGTCACACTCGTCGTCCCTCAGGCAATATCGCCACAATTTATGACGTTTATTATTGAATGATTAACGAATTCGCCAACGTTAATGTTTCAGAAACAATTAATCAGATAAACATTAAATTGTAACGCAATTCATTCGTCATAGTTGATTGGCATCCATGCATTCGAATGAATAATGAGACTGCCGTTATACAAATTGGGTGCTAAGATATTGTTTCACACTCCTTTTACTTTGGGTCTACGTAGCCATGTCTAGTAACATTCATTTTGTGCTACATTCAGAGGTGAGATATGGTATGAACTCTACGGACAATGTTACCAGCATTTAAATATTCGTCGAGAACGACTGTAAGATTTCATTCCTCAGAATTATGTAATACAATTCTGTAGCTACTGATGAGTTATGTGGAGATAAGAAATAATTAGAAATAGTTCTATTCGAGTAAGTGTGGACCATTTACGTTTATTAAAAAATTATGTGCACCTTTAATGTATGGTGAGTGACCATGAATCCATTAGTTGACCTGACACCTAATTTTCTAAAAAAATTTTTCACTTTTTCACGGACAAAAATCGCACTAAAAGTGATAAAATAATAGATAAAAATCTTCCTTGCGCAATACAAAATTAATTACAAATTGACACATAAGTTCATAATTCCTATTATGATCCATATATAATATTTGCACTATATAATAATATAAAGCATGCAAAATATATAATAAAGCATGCAAAAGAACTTAAAATTTCCCTCCTAGTTCCCAGAAAAAATCCACCGACGCTATCCATTCAGTGAAAATTCTGCAGTGAACGAAACTTTTAGGCAACAGAAGGGCGCTAAAAAATGAGAAATGTAACCTATCCTTTATGGAAAGTTTAAGAACAATTTGTTAAGCGCCAAAACCATTTTAGGCTTCAATTAGATTGTTTTGGACAACAGAAGACCTGCCTCCTTTGTCGCCAGGAGAACAATAACTGCTATCTATTCACACGCAAACAGTAAGAACGACTTTCACATTTTATTATAATTGTCAGTTAACCAATCAATATAAATTAAGTCTAGTTTTTATTGTACTTAACATTAGGTTTATTTTTTCAGCTTGGACGATGAGGATCAAATTAGTATGTCACTCAGAGCGATATATTTAATTGAGTTTTTTTTATTCATTTTATTTATCATTTTATTTATTTAAATTTATATATTTATTTTTATTGAGCCATTTTTATTCGAGTTCAGCTCCATATATTATAATATGCCAAAATTACAACTCTGAATATTGACATATCGCCTTAAACATCTTAATCATGCACTAGTAACAACTATTCAATCTAGAAAGAGGTCTTCTATTTTTAGCACGAAATTGAACATTCAGTTTCAATCATGCAATTTCGCTTTATCGGAATGAATATACTAGGAATACATAAATAAGGAATTACAAGCCCAAGCAAAATTAAGTCCACAATTTACTATAATAATTAAAACTTGAGAAATTTTTGAAATTTTCCAAATGCGTTGTTCAATGCAGTTTGTACTACTATAGGCCTAAGCAGCATCATGATCGTGTATACGTATTAAATTCGATTGAACTTTTACTCGTGACAATAAATAATTTTTTATTGTAAGAAAAATAAATATAATTTTAAATAATGTGTACTGGCTACAAAAAACTGGCGTAGTTATGTTTTTGATCATTTCTTTCCGAAAAATTTCAATTGAACTTCATTCCAATCGTAACACTACATTGAAGATAATTTTTATACCTAAACGAAGTGGTTCCTCGCTTTCGCAGATGAATAATAAATAATACCGAAGGTTTGGCATTGAAATTTATCCTGATTGAATAGAAACCCATCGTCTTTTTTACTATCTCGCACACCCAATTTGAAGACGAACAGAGATATTAAATTAGATTTTTTAATTGTTCTTTAATCGAGTTGTCATTGAAGATGGGATTAAAACCTAATTCGAGCTAACTGAGCGCACTGAATGCCGCCGTCCTAAACTCGTTGCTGGTAAAAGCTAATGTCGGTGATCGATCGAGTCTAAAAAGATATCTGACTATCCCTGTCAGCTTCACATGTTGCTTCTCAATCTAATCCAATAATATGATAACATGAGACTTTGCTGGTAGAGCGTAGTGTTTACTTATTAATAGTTTTTTGTGAGTGTATTTTTGTAAAATGAATATTTTTATCCTTTTTCATGAAGTTTGTTGCTCTGTCTGCTTCGATATTAAACATGACTTAGATCTTCTCTGGCACTCGTTTAACAATAATGTTCTTCTGTTTCCTCATGACCTCACGCTAGCCAAATTATTAGACTCAAACTATTAGACTCATTAGACTACGCTAGCCAAATTATTAGACATTAGCTTTCCAGATGGAACCCACTACGCTTCTGTCGGCTTTTGAACCCCTCATCGGCGCGCTTCTGCACCGTCAAAACCCCTCGATTTTACCACCTAAAAAAGATAACTCAGTACTCACTGCAGTGAGTGACAGAGAGCGCATTTTCTCGTCGACGAAAACTTGAGGTCACGGACGGACGGACGGACAGACGGGCAGACAGACAGACAAACAGACAGACGGACACGGCGAGCACAATAGTGCATTTTTTTCGATAAATGAGAAAATGCGCTAAAAATTGACATGGATTAGTCTGTTCAAAATTGTGATGCTACATTTTCAAATCCTTCCTGGATCATTATGCCGAACACAGCCACGAGTAGACACTATCTTTCTTAAACGTAAGGTACGAACTAAAAATGTTAATATGAAGCTATAAATGTAAAATACGAGTGTTTGCGGCACATCGGGGTAATTTAAAGACAGTGCCGTCAGACTTGAGTCATTAACGAGTAAAGTATGATAAACCGCGCATTTTTGCGAGGCTTCGTCATCAGTTCATATGCGACAAGAAGATGCAGGTTTTCCCTATACGCCCATTAATCAGAGCAGACAAATAATAGGCTGCACTTCGCCAGCAAAATGAGTGATATGAACAAAATGTGAGCGTGACGCAATACCGTGGGGGTATTTCTTAAGAGCCGGACTGAAGATTATTACGGTGCGGGGACCATAAGAGGATTTTGTTACCATTAAATGCTAGGGCTTAATGGAGGCATGTTGCGAATATTTGCAAAGACTTCGTGTACGTCATGATATACTTAACGATTGAGATTGATGTGGGCAACGCAGGGACAAGAAAACACGAACAATTTTTCACAAATTTTCTATCATTATTTAAAAATGTAGAAGAAATTTTGAATGGCGGGAAATTTAAATGATAAAAATAAGTGCAAAATAAGTGAGAAAAGTATACATAAATTGTCGATTAAAAAAATACTGTGTCGAATAAAAATTACATACTCCAGTTTATGTACTGGATAAATACGATGAAAGTAATAACACAGTACAATTCATGTTCAGTCCAAAATACAGCGTTGTTTACAAACGGACAAATTTGTCCTGAAAGAAAACAGTGAATTTCTTGCAAGCCACATTTTTCACTAGAAGAACAATAAAGGTAGTGCATAAGTTAAAGTACACTTATAGTGAAACTGCAATGAAATTCCAGCCCCTACAGAATTCCGAAAATATATGCACCCAATTACTACCGGAGTATTTGCCACATTAAAGAGCATCAATAATCCAATAAATGACCAGCTGGTCAGAAAACAAGTGACCAGGGGCCATACTTTCAAAACTCACTAAGTGAACGTAAGTACTTACGCTCTATTTTCTTGTCTATGATTGGTGGATTTTGCTTGAAAGGCCGTCAATGATTGGCTGACGAACTTACGATCTCTTAAATTTTTTTGAAAGTATGGGCCCAAGAAAACAACTCAATACAAACTCGATCTCGCCGGGCCGACGGTAACATAAATACGAAGGGAATGAATGAGTGGCAGAGCCAGCAGCACGATCAACGATCCCATCTCATCTCGATCCCTTGTTTTGCCTCGACAATATTTTAGATTGACCGATGCGACAGTTCTTGTCAATATATTGCTATGCAGGAGCATATGTCCAGTCTTAAAATGCCTAGCAAATTACGGATCAGGCAATAAGTCCAGCAGCTATCTCAATCAATCGTCAGTTATGGAAAGATCGGGTTCCAAAGGCCCTTGTGAATCAAGTCACGAAAAATTCAAGAATCGGCAACAGGCCATGGGCCTTTTTCTTCAGTGCCGACACTTCTATTCTATTCTATATTGGCCCTGAGGAGACTATTGAAGGGGATTGTCTAAATAAAGTAATAACAATCCCCCTCTATTGTAGGGGATTGGTTAAATAAATAAGATTGTTAAATAAACATCAAAATCCTAATGCAGAACCGATACTTTATGGAAGCGAAGCGCATTTTGTGCATAGGACATGGGTTCTGTATTCCTTGCCGTTGAGATAAAAAAAACAAATATTCTTACAGTATTGAAGGGAAATATAAAATAATTTCAGTGCTTGAAGAATTCTCTTGAGAATTGCAGACTCCTGCTGCAATTCAATACTACTACAAATGTATTTTCAATCTCTCAAAACATCACCACGGGTCCATTTCTGAGCGTGAAGGTCATTATAAACTAGTATTTTATTGATTAAAGTAGCTATAGTTTAGAAAATGATTAGTTGCCTACAAGTTTTCAATGCGTGGGGTTTAATAAGCCTATATTTACATTGAAAATGAAATGTCAGCAAACAAACTGCGATGTTCATGATGGATGATAATAAGAATGACGATCTTACATCACTGAATGAACTGCAAACTGACGCTTGCCAAATCCCGTATTCTACTTAAAACAACTCGTAAAAAAGTAAAAAAGTACTCTTAAGATTTGCCAAAGTATTACGTACTTTACTTTGCCAAAAGTAAAGAAGTACGATTTGCCAAAAGTACTTCTACGATTTGCCAAAAGTACATAAAAGTACTTTTTACGATTTGTCGAAGCTATATCCTATCAAAAAATTTTTTATTGTTCTAACAACAAGTATCCTACAGATTCGACACGGGAGATGACCTACAGTCCTGAGATAACCCGCTCGGAGCGCGCAAAACTTCCTCCGAAGATGCTCATTGACATCGCAACTTTAAAGCAGCAAGCGACTGCAAACGGCTGAGGTATTGATATGAATTACGTGAACTTGTTTGGCGAACTTCTGGAATTTATATCAAAATTATAAAACAGTACTAGTAAAGCTAGTAGATAAATCATGTGGGACAGTTAAACTTATATCGATGTAGTCCATGGCCATACTTTCAAAACTCGCTAAGTGAACGTAAATACTTACGCTCTATTTTCTTGTCTATGATTGGTGGATTTTGCTTGAAAGGCCGTCAATGATTGGCTGATGAACTTACGATCTCTTAACTTTTTTTGAAAGTATAGGCCCAGCAGGTATTCAAGTGATAAAGGTTGGTAGTCCACCATCCCGCTGTGTGTAGATAATTCAATAAGTGGAGTTGTCTCTAAACTAATTTATTATAATTAAGTTTGCGTACAATTATTCAGCCCTAATTAACAAGTTTCATCATAAAATTTAATTATAAATCATAGTATAAATGTGATGATTAAGTTCTGTTCAACGCTAGAATATATACATGAAACTTTTCATTCCAATAATTCCACTGACTTGTAAGGGTGTAAGGGTGTATTATTAAGGGTTATTGTAAGGGTGTATTTAAATTAAATATTACCAGTGAGATAATTACCACATTTGCCCTTATTAATCTCCAATAACTTTACAATATTAAAATACATGACAAATAAAACTGGAGATCTGCAATCAAACTTTAAATTTTGCCCCCAAAGACTTGGCTTCTTTGTTGACGAGACTAAAACGAATATGCATCAACTACAAAGAGGATGCCGTGCATCGTGCATCATTGTTAAGAATATGATGATATGAAACGATAATTTATCACATTAATACAAAGTTTTGATCGTCGAACAGAAAACTTAATAATAATAATAATCAACGATTCCATATTTGATTCTGGTTTGTGCCGGATTTCTCGAGACCGCGAAATTGAAGATTGCTTGAATAGTTATATTAAATTAACCATCATAGTGACAATCAAGAAAAAATAGGTATATGGAAAGATAAATTATTCATTACAACATGAACTTCCGACAGACAATGGCTATCCAGATGAAGACATTGAGCCAATCACGAGAAAAAATTATCCCGCGACGTTAATTTTTGTATTAAATATCACAGCAATTCAAAACTTACCTACGTCATTCACGAATGCTCTCCACGACCTTCAGGCGTCGTTTGCGCGCGTTAAATGTCGAAATTTTCAAGACTTTCTTTCAATAGAGAAGAGGTGAAAAAAATAGAGAGCGGACTTGTCGACGAGCAGCAACACAAGCCCACACCCTGACACGGTCGAACTCAAACCTCTACTGATAGGGCAACGCGAAGAAGACCTATCGTTCGTTAAATATGACTGTAGTAATCATGTTTCATTGTTGATAATAATTATTTTTCTTTACAACAGGATTTATTCTCCTCTTTCTTTAGTATTAAGTTCTCCTAATGTATATGACTGTCTTACGGGTAGGCATGTTTCAATGTTAATAATAATTATCATTTAAGGCAGTCATGTTTTGTTGTAAATAAAGAATCTCATGCAGCCAACTATTGTTGGCGTTACATGATTAGCTGCACAAAGCCTCGTAACTGCAATCGAAAATGTCATTTGATACATATATTGTTTTGTTTGTAGGTATATAACAAACTTCATTGATGTGATTCGTCTGCAACCGTTACATTATCCACGACTAAACCTCTGAGAGTGCAGGAGTTAGTAGAAATTAAGGATTAGCTCAATAGTAGTAATCTGTCTCGATACAAATTCAATTAGAGTTTATAAATATTTAATTTTTATCTTCATTCACTAATATTTAGGATCTACTGCTCGTCATTCAAGCCGTATGTTTTCTAAAGCCGTAATATTTAATGAACATTATTTAATACTAAATTATTAGACGAAATTTTGAACACCATATATATATATATATATAATCGGGAACGTCCATGGCCAAAACCTAACAAAAGTACAGGTGAGGTTATTGAAAAAATAAATTATGTTCATTACTTAATATTGATATACCTGACTATCATATATCATCAGACAACTTGAGGTATGTTAAGAAGTTGGAGTTCTAGAAATTGATATCAAATTGATTCCAGTAGTTAGTGAATATCACAACTATTTATATACCTTTACTGTCAGACATGAGTCAGGACTTCATGAAGTTCTTGTGGGGCTTACAGACTTCTAAACTTGTACAAGCAGACACTATAGCTAAGTGAACGTAAGTACTTACGCTCTATTTTCTTGTCTATGATTGGTGTATTTTGCTTGAAAGGCCGTCAATGATTGGCTCATGAACTTACGATCTCTTAACTTTTTTTAAAAGTATAGGCCAAGGTAACTCAATATCATTGTGGCCTTCATTAGGCCCATTATAACAGCACTGGATCGCAAATTCTGTTTATGAGAAGCCATAAATGGAATCATCGATTAATTACGATAAATTTGACACCTGTCGTTCTGTTCGTACAAAATTCAATCAAGGAACAGGTCTAAACGCCAATAACGACAATGAATACATTCAATTCTGATAGTCATTCTTATTTTCTATTTATCTATCATTTGAATACAATCTAAGGCGAATATTTGAATTCTCATGTTTCCAGCTTCAAGTCATTAGGTTCTCAAGAAGCTAACGCGGCTTTTGGAAGAAGTAATTACACGAGGCATAACTCAGCATACTCTACATCATCACGGTATCGTTAAAAACTTGTTGATACATTCAATTGATGCATGACTGAAATAAATATAAACAACTATTCAGGCGTTTTTACTAATTCTAATAATCCAAAATTTGAGCAGACTCGTCGACATTTAGCGCCATGTTAACAAATTAATGAGCTCTGACTTTCACTGGACGTAATTCTTCGCGCAAATCATGCAACTTGTTATGACAAAATTATCGGTGTCGTTAGTTTTAACTATTTTGAGCATGAATAAAAATTATCCATCGATATTTTATTCCGTCTGAAGTATGGACTTAACACGTAAGATAATTTATATTTTAATCTTAACACAGTTTCCGAATGAGCTGTCGGACAAGCCTATCATCCGAATTGCCATGAACAAATCAATTCAATATATATGTGTAAGAGAGTGACAGAATCATCGAATCAATTGAAAACTTATGATTTGAATTGGAATTCATCTTTGGTTATTGTTTTGATATGTTACTGGCCTTTCATTCTGTCTAGCATGTATATCGGACTAAAAAAAATACCGACAAATAAAATAATACAATCTTGTGAAAATGACGTGTTCCACTACAATGCTCATTACTCTAGGCAGTCTTTGTTGGAATTCTGGGTCTGTCTCTCTCAAGAAATCCTTTCGCTGGTCTTTGCAGCATTCACAGCGCCTCATCACACGACGCCAGAAACAGGTGGTCCTTGTTTGAATGTCAAGGCCTGGCACAGACGCTAGCGGCCATGTATATCACCGACACACTCCTATAACAAACAAACAAAAATAGTCTTGATTCACTTGAAAAATTTTTAGGAATTATTTATCGCAGCGTCAAAATCGAAAACATGAACTTTGATAATGAATACATCAAGAAGAATCAGAACAATTAATCTCAAGTTGAATGATTTAATGATAATATAATGATAATATGAAGTCGAATGATAATGATGAATGATAGCGAATGTTCAAAGACGTTCAACAAGGATAATTCTAGGCTTGAAGGGCAGTCCTGTCCTATGAAGAAAGATTAAAGGTTATGAAGCTTCCAAGCCTCAGTTATCGACGTCATCGTGGGGACCTCATTGAAGTATACACGTACACTAATGGTTTATACAAGATCCCCGAAGGATTACTAGAATTTGAAACATGAACCAACACCAGGGGCCACGGCTATAAACTAATAAAACTGCGCTGCAACTTCTCCACGCGCCAACATTTCTCCTCGCTTCGAATCACCGACATGTGGAACAGCCTCCCTGATTACATCGTTGGCGCTCCGAGTATGAACGCGTTCAAAAACAGACTAGATAAAGCTATGGAAAAATATGTGTTCAGATTTGAAATGCATAGCACTGTCCATATCGAACCCGGTGGAAGTCTAGTGGCTATTTGAAACTATCGTCAGTCTTGAAAATATCTGGTTAAATGACACAATTTTAGATCTTCTACGCACAAGTCACGAAAAGTTCAAGATTCGGCGACAGGCCACATCAGGCCTACTCTTTAGCGCCGACATCACTATGTTATGTTATGTTATGTGGAACAGCCTCTCCGATGACATCGCTGGCGCTCCGAGTATGAACACGTTCAAAAACAGACTAGATAAAGCTATGGAAAAATATGTGTTCAGATTTGAAATGCATAGCACGGTCCATATCAAACCCGGTGGAAGTCTAGTGGCTATTTGAAACTATCGTCAGTCTTGAAAATATCCGGTCAAATGACACGATTTTAGACCTTCTGTGAACAAGGCACGAAAAGTTCAAGATTCGGCGACAGGCCACATCAGGCCTACTCTTTAGCGCCGACATCACTATGTTATGTTATCTTAAAGTTACGACAACCCACGCTCGGTTGCGACATTCGTACGGACAGTGCCCCGCATTCTGGGTTAAGTAGAATGATCAAAATGAGCTTAACGAACGACTATTCACCAAAGCACTCGAATGATATCGATGTTTAACGACTCTAGTAGCGCAGCATGTATGAGCAAATGATTTCATTTACATTCATTGGAACCTCGCATGCATATCATATTTGACGGAGGTGACCTCGCCGCTTCAATTTCTAGCCAATTCGTTAATCCTTGATTAGATATTTTTTCTCAATATTTGCTAGCAGAAATGGATACAATCCTTCACTCAACATGAGTAACTCTCAAAGTAAACTCAGCACGCTATACGATCATCTTAGAAACTTAAAAGCAGAGAAAATTCCACAAAAAATCACACTATCTTTTATCTTTTATTCGTTTTCTATAAAGATAATGTGAACTTTTGTGAAATTTTCTATGCTTCTAAGTTTCCAGTGAATTTACGATTCAAGCAAACAAGTGACATTACTACTTATAAACAATTATGTTATGTTTAAACGTGACAACTGAAATCACAGCGTGTTAATTAATGAGTGCACTTTCGAGGATGACAGAGCGCGACACACGCTTCCTTCTAATGACTTGCTAGCCAGCGGCAGCCAGAAGGTGCTGAGCCATGCTCTAGAAGTTTAAATTCGCTATTACGCGTGTTCAAAAGTAAAACACGCGCATGTATGAAAACATTTTATTCCTGCGAAAAAAGTGAACTCCAGCAATAAATAGTCGTGTAATTCAATAAGTTTTCAATAGTTCAAAATTATTGTCGATGTGTTCACATCGAAAATAATTTTGGATTAAAGGCGAGACCCATTCACCTGTACGGAAGAAAATGTACATATTAGTTTCCATGCGAATTTTGGACCGTGTAACTTGGAAACGAAGGCGAAATCGAGGAAATGAACTTTACCTAAAAACTACTGTTAATTTCTAGTGAACACGCGTGCAAAGTTTCATTTAGTTGCGTTTATTACTAGTCTGGGATATTTTCGGGTCAATGAACGTTGGTGATCGACTGAAAAATCGACCGGAAAAATTTAGGTGCTTTAGCGAAGTTATATTCGTTGAAGGTATAACTTTCTATGACGAGAAATGAAATTCATAATAATCAATCCCCTGAGGTACTTTAGAATTTTTCTCGAAGGGAATTTTCAATACGTTTCACCGTGTGGAGTGCTCAAACTGGCGCGGAGTGGTCAGTGGTTAGTCTTTCTTTCCGCAGTGCCTGATTATGCGGTAACCCTACCGGGATTTCGGAAAATTTTAAACCGAGTTGACGTGCGACTTCATTTTCTCCGTCAGCCCGCTGCTCGCCAACAACAACAAACCGAGAAGTGAAAGAATTTAACGACATTACAAGTCGTAACTGTCCGTTTTGACGCTATTAAGTTTCAATCATTGCCTGGTAGACCATTAAGTTGTTCGATTAAAAAATGTTGGATCTTCACATGCTCAAAAGCCTACCGGGAAATGGAGAGGTTACAGCGTGCGAGCGTGAAGGAGTGCTTCGTTGCGACAGCTCAGACCTTGCTGTTAAAACAGCGCAGCTGATGGTGAGTTCTCAGGCTGACTGTTACATACCTAGCAATTCTGTCTTATAGTACTGCGTACAAATGGATCACAAGACTCATATCTCTTAGATTCTTGATACGATGCAATTCTGGAAAATCAGACAAAAGTCTCTAATGAATCTGAATGAGAACAAGTGGCTGTGCTTGTTGACTTGTAGACATTGTAGTCAATTTCAAAATTCAACCCATTTCTATCATCATAATAATTCTATGGTTCTGCCCCAGGGGGGCAGGGGGGCCAGGGCCTAAGGCCTCTTGCCCAAAATTTTCCTTTAAAAAAAGTAAAAATATACATTCTTGCATTGCATGCAATTTACATAAATTGCCCATAAAAGTTGGAACTATAGTAGTATAGTTTTAGCTAAATCATAAATTAGGTATAGAAAATTTTGTCTAACAAGGTAAATAATTACTAGGTATATTAGTTATATATAAATTCCAGATTGGCATAATAAATTATCAATCACCATACCTATGGAATATATCTACTTGCTAGTCTGGAAAAGTCCTATTTTTGTCTGAAATATCGCGGCTCTAATATCATATAATTTCAGTAGGTATGAAATCTCGCGGCTCGAATGTCATAAATTTTTGTTTGATTAAAAAATTGCGGTTTGCACTTTGCAAACATGTCATTTCATAAAATTTTCAATTTCCGCAATCCGCATTGCTTTACCGTTTCTGCCAAAAATATCTTGCAGAAAAAACATAAACATCGTAATGTAAACAAATAAACAAAACGTTTGTTGAAGATCGCTTACTGTAAGTTCAGCACGTGTTAATATACAGTCTGACCGCTTTGACATGACCGCAACTATGCGCGATCTTCAACAATCGTTTTGTTTATTTGTTTACATTACGATGTTTTATGTTTTTTCTGCAAGATATTTTTGGCAGAAACGGTAAAGCAATGCAGATTGCGGAAGTTGAAAATTTTATGAAATGACATGTTTGCGAAGTGCAAACCGCGATTTTTTAATCGAACAAAAATTTGTGACATTCGAGCCGCGAGATTTCATACCTACTGAAATTATATGATATTAGAGCCGCGATATTTCAGACAAAAATAGGACATTTCCAGACTAGAATCACCACCAGCAAGCACCGAGCAGTAACTAATATTAAAATTTATTACTTGAAAACAATGTATGTTTGCATAAAAGTTTTTAATTTTTCAAAGTAATTTTAATGCAAAAGTATCAAAAACTTGAAGCAAGAGACTGTGACTGAGAGTATAAAAAATTTTCAGCTACGTAGATGTAAGTAATCTAAGTATTACTGTATTAATGACTAATTGAATACTAAAAAATGTATTAAAATGTATTATTTTTCTTCAAATTGGTTTAAGTTTCAGGAAATGTGCCAAAACTTAGCAATTCAAGGGGCCCATTGCCATCTTGTTTGCCCTTCCAAAAAAAAGGGTTTTATCTTGAAAGACAGGCAACTCCTCAAATTGGGGTCAAACAATTAATGAAAATATATTTTTGTAACAGTTGAAATAATTTTTTGATCAGAAAATATGCAAGTAAGTTATTTTAATTGATATATAGGTAAATCAAATTGAACTAGTTCGTCACTTGAAACACAGCTGCCACTTGACACTTTTCAATAGATACGTGACACCTTTATGCAAGTCAATAAAATCTGGAGAGCAATCACAAAAACAACACTAACCAACCAATAGTGCAAGTGTGTTATTTATGGTCAAACTGAAATAATCAGTTAAAAGTGTGATTGTTAATCAAATCTTCTTTTTTGCAGCTTGGATGCAGTGAACCAATCCTTGAAACTGAAAGCTGTGAGACAGTTCGACCAGCACTGGGCAAGCATGATGCTCAGAATGCCTTTTCAGCTAGGCCTAGACTGCCAGCATCAATTGTCATTGCCTAGTGGGTCATTAATGCTTTGTAATAATAAAATGAGTCATTCCCATGTTTCATGCTTAATAATGACTTAATGTCTCATTAGTATACCTATGTTTCTGATGTGGGGATTACCCTGATAAAAGTAAAATTGATATGTTTCTACTTGTGAATCATTCACAACTTTATTTGTCCTCTTTTCTTTTGACCCAGTTTCATAATTCATTTGAATTTCAGAAACTACTAACCATTGATGGATATTTTTTGTTATTTTTTGTCATTTTCAAGTTGTTTTATATTTTTATATACCGTACCTTATGTATTTTATTGAGTTATATATTATAATGAGGATATTATTAACAGCCGTGAGCGAGGATTGGCCGGATGTTTGGAACAATTGGTTGAAGATTCTGAGCCAGGCTGGCTGATGGCTATTGCAAGAGTGGCTGCTAAGGCTGCTCTGGCTGGTCTCAGCACAGCCGAGCAAGTCACCAAGTTCACAAGATTTGAGAGGAGTATAAGTACACGCACTCACACTTCAGGGCTGGGTAAAAAATTACATATTTACCAGGCTCTGAATTTTTTATATACCTATTCTTTGTATTAGCAATAGCATCTTTTTCAGGATTTAGTGAGGCAAAGTTTATCTGACAATATTTTATGTTAAGTAATTGATCTCATTCAACTTCTATGTTCCGCAAACAAAATTTTTGTATTCCACAAGAATTTAATCAATATAATGCTAATTCTTAAATTAAAAAAAGGACTGTTGATGCATGGAAATTATAGAATTGATTGTTGCACAGGTGGTGGCAGCCGAGAGATTGTGAGCATTTCTTGGCACAGTTGCAGCAGACGTTTGGCTGTCGCGTTCACTGATGACAGCGTTAAAATCTACAGCCAGAAGCCCTTGCAACCACTACTTAAGCACAGAATACAGCGACGCGTCACTCAGGTCCAGTGGCTGTAAGTTGCGTGGTCGTTCTATCCACGTGTCAGGCAAATGTCTGGCGTCCAGTGGTTGTAAGTTGCGTGGTCTTCTATCCACGTGTCAGGCAAGTGTCTGGCGTCCAGTTGCTGTAAGTTGCGTGGTCGTTCTATCCACATGTCAGGCAAGTGTCTGGCGTCCAGTGACTGTAGGTTGCGTGGTCGCTCCATCCACGTGTCATGCAAGTGTCTTGCGTCCAGTAGCTGTAAGTTGCGTGGTCGTTCTATCCACGTGTCAGGCGAATGTCTGGCGTCCAGTGGCTGTAAGTTGCGTGGTCGTTCTATCCACGTGTCAGGCGAATGTCGGGCGTCCAGTTGCTGTAAGTTGCGTGGTCGTTCTATCCACGTGTCAGGCAAGTGTCTGGCGTCCAGTGGCTGTAAGTTGCGTGTTGTTCTATCCACGTGTCAGGCAAGTGTCTGGCGTCCAGTGGCTGTAAGTTGCGTGTTGTTCTATCCACGTGTCAGGCAAGTGTCTTGTTTTTATTGGCTAAAATTTTTGCGTTATTTTCAAATACCACAATTGAAGATGAACTAAAAAAACTCGCTCCTAAATTAGAGTCATTCTGGAAAAACCAGTTTAGAATTTTATGCTTTTATTTTCGCACCGGAACACTATTTGAAAATATTAGAAAGTCACCAAAGATTCATGAAATGAATAAAAACAGAGATTATATTATTATTTTTGATATGTTATATTATAATAAATTGTTATATGTTGAGTTGTGTATTTGCAGGCCCTACAGCATGAGTGTTGCGTGCGTGTCGTGTGAGGCGGGAGTCTTGCTGTGGAGTGTCGACCCTTCGTCTGTAGTGACGCGCCCTTCTGGAGCCTGCATCTCGCTCCTGCCTTTCCTCCATAACGCCTCTCATGCCGTCATGACGACACATCCTCAGGTTATTAATATTCTTGACTATTGCTGTGTAGTAGTAGGTAGTAATGATAATAGCAATAGTGGCTTTTTATTAAGCATCAGGTTATAGGTAATGTGATTGATTGCTTGCAATGATAATTACGTACTACTGCATTAATAGTGAGGTGGTGAACGCTAGTCAATAACAAGCAGTGGAGTATCTCAAATACTGTCTATGCTTTCATGCTAGATTGAACTGACGTAAAGAAAATTGCATCACAGTTAGTCAGATAATTGAGGTTTATAAATTTTTTTTTCAATTGAATGGGAATGAAAAGAGAATGAATCAGTGTGCCCATTCTTGTATTAAGGCGTTTTAAATCTGGAACGCTGCACTAGATATGGTAAGATTCCTTGCTGCAGGACGCAAGAGCGGCGTGTTTGGAAGGCCGCGGCGTGGGCCTGTTGTACAAAGTGTCACAAATTGTTTTAATTTCTTTTCCCAACAACAATATTGTAATTATGTCTTATGCATCTAATGGCACAGGGCACGAGCTTGGCGTATTCGTATGGTCGCGGCGTGCCTGTGCTACATGTTCCAAGTTGTTTTCATTTCTTACGCATTAACAAAATTATTATTTTGTCACAGGGCACGAGCGTGGCATGTTCAGACGGCCACGGCGTGGCTGTGCTACATGTTCCAAGTTGTTTTCATTTCTTACGCATTAACAATATTATTATTTTGGACAGGGCACATGCGTGGCATGTTCAGACGGCCGCGGCGTGCCTGTGCTACATGTTACAAGTTGTTGTCATTTCTTACGCATTAACAAAATTATTATTATGACACAGGGCACGAGCGTGGCATGTTCAGACGGCCGCGGCGTGCCTGTGCTACATGTTACAAGTTGTTGTCATTTCTTACGCATTAACAAAATTATTATTTTGGACAGGGCACGAGCGTGGCATGTTCAGATGGCCGCGGCGTGCGTGTGTGGGACACGGCGTTGTTGATGAGCACTGAGGTGCAGCGCAGCGGTCACGTCACGCACCTCGCCTTCTCGCCTGACGCCACCAGACTGCTCGTGGTCATGGCTCGTCCTCCTACCCTGAGGTTAGTCAACCCTTGATGACTTTTGTGAATTAATAAATGCACAAGAAAATTTAATTGGATTGTTAATTTAAAGCCAGTACTGGCGCGAGGGAACGATTTTGACGTGTGATTTCAGAACAAATGCTTGCGTGAAGGAATGATATAGCCTTGTAAAATTAGAACGAATACTGGGCTGAGAGAATAATTTGCCGTCTAATCAGTAAGCTATTACTTGTATAAGAAGATGATGTTACTGTGTAATATCAAAACAATGTTGCTTCTGTTCAATAACCGTGGAAGTATGTCTTCATACCAACCACCAATTTTATAATTATGTCTGTTCATCATCCACTAATCTTAAGATTAATTCTGTTAACCATTCGCTTATCATAAAGCTTCGACTGCCCTACTGTAAAATTTTGTCTCCATCCAAAAATCATTAATATATTAGATATGTAAATAAATTTTACAATATTTGTGTAGAGTTTTCGACACAAGTGACTGGAGCCTGCAAGAGTGGGTGAGCAGTAGCGAGGTATCGTGCTGTGCGTGGTCGCCCTGCAGCGACTACGTTGTCTTCTGCACCGCTGACCCTGCCGTGCTGTACTTCTTGTCGCCTACCACTGCTGCCACAGCTGCTTCTGCACCGCTGACCCTGCCGTGCTGTACTTCTTGTCGCCTACCACTGCTGCCACAGCTGCCACTATGCTGGCAGACCTTTCTCTCGTGCAACTCGCCGACACAAGTGGCCAGACTGTCAGGTCTCAATATTAATTTTAAATTAATGTACAATTTTGAGTTGTTAAACATGATTCATTTTTTAAATTAAAATTTGAGTTTCATATGAACTTCTTATATTCATAAACAACCTTTATATTTATTTTGGTATACATGAATCATTTTCCTATTTTGCGCGTTCATATTGTAAATATTTTCTTCCGTTGCAGCGTCGGTGGAGCTGTGAAAGGCATGGCGTGGGGCGGTGAGCGGCTCTTGCTCTATTTCCACTCCTGCTCCTACTTGGTACTCTTTCACACGCTCACGATTCATGCTCTTAAAATTGCCATCAAGTGAGTAATATTATGTACAAGTCAAAACATCTTGAGTAAAAGAAAATAGTTCATTAAATTCATCAAGTAAAAAAAATTCATTAACTTGCTTACTCAAATTTCTCTCTTCGTTGCGTATGTCATCTAATAATGGGATAGTTGATCAAACAGATTGAAATTTTGTTTAAAATGAAAATAATAATGGAATCTAATCAATCTATTAAGAGAATTATTTCACGCAATCAATCCCTTTTTCCGGTTTGGCTGCTGTTCTAAACGAGATGAATAATTTATTTTCGTCAGCGGAGTGATCAAAGGTCCTGACGACTGTCTGCCAGTGTCAGCAGCCTTTCACCCTTCCCAACCATCGCTACTTACGGTTGCTTGGGACGACGGGACTCTACAACACGTCCCTCTTCTATACACGTCTCGGCAGACCACGTCAACATCAAATATTGGTGCTTTGAACACCACGTTAGCCGAGTTTAACACCACAGTTGCCGACTACCACACCACCAATGTTAACAGTCCTTGGAATGACTCTCATATTACGCCTCGAGAATTTCAAAGCGATACTCTAAATGGGAGTCTGTGGCCTAATAATAGCATTTTGTCCTAACTCAGTTTCGAAATTTCTTGGGAAATGCTTCTCCGATCTAGCTTTCTTCATTAATTTAGAAACCTGACATTATTTTTTATGGGTGGATGGATATGAAATTATGAAGATTCGTCTTAAGTCAGTGAGCGAAATTCACAATTTGTAGGTGTTTGTGTTAGTTATGAAGTTTGGAAAAGCTCCTGTAGGTGTTATTCTACGCTTTTCCCTTTCGCCTCAATCGTACCTTGCATAGATAGGCAAATTGTTTTATGACTGAGTAGAATATACTTTTCATATGAAAGTTGTAGCGTTAGTTTGTATTAAGATTTTATTGGTCGGATCTTTATTAATAAATGAATGTACTTCAGCCAGTTGTTGAAATAAGGCTCCACGAAGATAACTCCTAATTAATTGTGCTATAGCTCGAATGTCAAAATGCTCACTGTTAGTCGAGTCAAATATAATATTTAGAGAGCAGATCCACTATTTTTGTCCATGAATTATTATAGAATAAAAAGTTTGGCAAATGTGCAAAGTATTTTCTAACGGTATTTCGAGATGTTTTGGCATTACGCAAATATTTTACACATCTGAAAACAATCATCATAGTGCTAAGTGCATCCCGCGTCGTTGAGTTTTCTTAAAATTTTACCCAAGTAAGTACACTTGTCTGATATTATTGACAAAATAATCTTAACATGTCGTCGATGATATCGAAAAAAATATATGTTTTGATGATTACAAAAATTGCTTGGTTGAAAAATTTCTGCTGGCAGAGAGGTTTGTCCGTTCTTTCCACCGATGCGGACTTCCTAACACGTATTCGGATAATCGGATTCCAGAATCCAGAGTGTCAGTCTGATTCTGACAGCCCAAGATAGTGTATACGTCATGGACTCTCCGTTTTCTATCACCAATCCTTTTTTTGGGGTGGGGCTGGGGGGGGGAATAAAAACTTTTTTCTAATAGTTGTTTCCCTTGCCGGTGCTTAGTGACATTTCAGTTGGCAGTTGCCAAGTGAGTGACTGACTGCTCATTTTTATTACTTAAGGCTAAGGCAAGGGCCCAAGGGGGAACACTTGAAAGCTCAGCGCCTACGCTTTCAGCTTTTAAGTCTGACCAGTGACCCGTTGATGAACATTATGAGGTGTGGGCTGTGTGGCCCGTGTGGGTATTTAATTTTTATTAAAAACATTCTATCTTTTATGTTGAGAACACCAAGGTTTTTTCTTACAAATATTAGAAAGATCTCACTCTTGACTCTTATACCCATTACCCAGCCTCCCAAGCAAAATAATAATAGGCCTAATAAACTTAGCTACCTATAAAGTTATAAGGCCATAGTGTCAAACCAGTGATTTTTTAGAATCAGTTCATTTTTAATTTTCTAATTTACCCAGATTTAAGTCAATATCTTATGTAGCCTATGATGATGCTTGTATGTGGTATGACTGGTATCCATGATACTTTTCTGGTCTACTTATAGGACTTGAAGGAGGAGAGTAAAAAACTCTGCTTTGCCACTATCCTGAGTCGTGACGGTATCCACTTCCCGTCAACTGGGGCTACTCGGGACGGGTGCCGGGCGCATAGTGGCAAAGCAGAGAGTTTTTTAGACTCTCCCTCAAGTTCATTTTTGAGTCCTATAAGTAGACAAGTAAAGCATAGTGGCAAAGCAGAGAGTTTTTTAGACTCTCCCTCAAGTTCATTTTTGAGTCCTATAAGTAGACCAGTAAAGTATCCTGGATACCAGCATTATCATACTTAAGAAATTGGTTTAAATCTTGAGTAAATGAGGAAATTCAAAATGAACTGATTCTAAAAAAGCTCTGGTTTGCCACTATGGCCGGGCGGGGTAACTCGGGACAGTCCTCCGACCCGGCGTAAAACTTTTAGTAGCAAAACTAATTGGAAATTTGGAATATTGCAAAACTAAATATAGTGGCATACAATTCAGGATGGAATTCTAATTTCGAAGGTTCATATATTATTTTGATCCACCAAGACCACTTTTTTGATCCAACATCGTTATTTGAGGCAAAAAATGAACTTCTTAAAGGCTTAAAACACGTACGCTAACTTGCTCAGTTTCTATAAAGTACCTAATCACTTGGAAGTTGCAAGTCTGCACCTTTCACTCAACAATTAAAATTAGACTTATAAAAAGTATTAGTTAGTTGAAAATTTGTCTCTTAAGTTGACCGCAATGAACTAAACTTCATTAAGTAATTATTAGGCAGAGTTTTCCATCATGCACACTAAACACGCAATTCAGAGTTCATACGAGCCAAACTTCATAACACGTGAGCAGTGAGCTAACGTGCTACTGAATTGAATAGGTACCTAGCTTCTTTCCCGCTACCGGTGATCTAGCGGGATGATCAATCGTATAATTAATTCGTATACGGTTGTATACGAATTAACTAATCGTTCGTATACTTAATGCAAGAGAATGAATAATTATGTTGTTTCTGATCAAACGAACGAAAACTTTTTCTGTTTCTGATCAAACGAAGGAAAACTTCTGATCAAACGAATGAAAACTTCTGATCAAACGAATGAAAACTTCTGATCAAACGAACAAAAACTTCTGATCAAACAAACGACTACAAACTTTTTGAAGATAATTGTGAAATCGTAAGTCGTAACATCTATTGAATTCTTATACGGATCGTTAATTTTAACATCCTATTTCCAAAAATCAATTATTGCATTTCTTTTAATTGAAAAACATCCTTTTACATAAAAAAACAACGAATTTTTTCTTACAGCTTCTTTGATAATTGATGATCTCACTCATATAACTTAATATTTTAAATTTAATGATTTTGTCATTTCGATGACTAAACTTTCTTTAGTTCATTAAAATAAAATAATTACTGCTTATGAACAACCGACGTTTTCTAAAAGACACAAGATGTTTGAAAACTCGCCATGGGAGACAAAATCATTCAGGATTTGAAGTGAAGTGAAGTTATTAAGACAAATTCGACATTATAGGGTGAAAACGTGAATAAATTCGTATTTAGAAGCGTATCAATTGGTGTTCAATTTTTGAAACAATTTTCCATCATTTAAATGTCACTGTGAAATGTGGATCAAATCTATTATGAAATTGAACTTTACAAGACCAAAACGAGGTGTCTGACACCGTCTTGTCTAATGTCAACAGTCAACACAATGTTGCCATACGCCGTGAAAGTTTAGCAGTTTATCCCATCATTCCGTGTGGATTCGAGAACTTTGTTGGTATTGGTGAAATCGTGAGAATTTTCTGCGAAAGTTTATGTAATTTTTATTTTTATTTTGAAACATATTCATTACAAAAATTGGTCGATACGGATACACGACAGTATATGTATTGGAGGGAGTTGTCGCCGAATTTTTATTGGTTTTCGAACCACATGCAAGCGAGATAAAGGAAACGCTGCTGTCCGGGTGTCCGCAGTTTCTGACGAGCTCAGTGTAATGAGTATCAATTTTCACTTTGGTGGAAGGTGATAAGTTTTTCAATACATTTTAGTAAGTTAACATGATAATATATTATCTATACAGAATTCCATACTGGCGTACATAGTGCATGATAGTGGCAAGCCAGGCAAGGCAGAGAGTTTTTTAGACTCTACTTCAAGTTTAATTTTAAGACATATAAGTAGACCAGCAAACCACATAGTGGCAAAGCAGCCATGGTCAGGAAGATGTACCAGGTGCGCGGGAATTTATATTGTCATTTTAAAGACCTGCGGGGTGCGCCATACTATACCGGTAAAAAAATGCGCTTTGCGCCGTACTTTTAGAAAGCTAAAATAGTTTAAATATGGACACGACGCACGGCAACACAAATTACGTAATCACACTGACCGTACACACAAACGTGTATCCGCATTGTGTTGTGGTTGGATATGAGTTGCCTAGATTGCTAACGCGTCAACTCAGGACTCAGGTTCTAAGAGTCAGCACAGTATGAATATTCATTCATAGATCACAATTCAATTGGACATGAATTACAGAACTAAAGAAGGCAATATGGCTTTAGATGGGCCATCGGTGCCTTCTAATGAATGACTGGACTGGTTGTGGCAAGTAGGGTATGAACCTGTATGTCAACAGTACGATCCAATCCTGCATGCTAATGTTGGGAGTTGGCTACATTACCGACATCCTCCCGGCCGGCAAAATCGACAGATCAATACCTAATAACAATGCGCATAAATGGACTATACAAATTAGGTCAATATGGCATAATTACAGAGCGTAATTATGCAGCTTTGATGGCCATTGACAAAATTTTTCTATGTCAAATCGTTTTTGAGTTTTGGGGGTTTTTGTTGAAACAACAAAAAGTGGTCAAAGTTACCCCGCCAGTCAAAGTAACCCCATTTTACGGTACAATGAATTTCTCATCTAATTTTCAAAAATAAAAAAAAATAACTTTTCAATTTTTTTAATATATATAAATTTTTTAATATATAATTTTTTTTCAAAATTATTTATCCATTGACAAAATTTTTCTATGTCAAATAGTTTCTGAGTTGTGGGGGTTTTTGTAAAAAAAACGAAAAGTGGTCTAAGTTACCCCGCCGGTCTAAGTTACCCCATTTTACGGTATAAGATTTGTAGCTGACAAAATTATTTTTTCAATTTTTTAATATTGAAAAAAAAAACATTTTTTTTTTTCATTTTTAAAATCATTTATTCTGACATTTGATTCATGCATTTTCTCCAACTTTAAACAAGTACCGTATGCAAAATTTCAGATTGATAGGATAAGTAGAACTGTAGAAGTATGTTAGATTTCGATTACAAGATTTGTAGCAGACAGACAAACAGATAAACAAGAGGTGAAGTTGAAGAAAAGTGTTGTAAAAAAGAGGTTAAAATCATTAGGAACAGTTCACAATTTCTATGAATTAATATTCAATATATTGGAAAATCTAGGCTATATTTGTCACAAAAAGTGGATCTAGGCCTACACAATACTATAATATAATTTATTTTGTAGATTTCTCATGTGTTTCCCTTATTTTGTCTACCTACCTAAACCCTATAAGGCCTATATCACTATAATAATATCAGTATATAGGATATGTACTACCTATATGCCATATGGTAAAGGTATATAATTTGTCCCAGTGTTGGCAACTTGGCACGCATGGAAAACTTCTAACCTTAGGGCCGCGAGTCTGTGACTTAGCAACTAGAGCTTTCTAACCATTTCCAGAACTGTATCTGCAAGATTTCTGCCAGATGAATAGCCTCTTATATAATTGTTAACAAAAATGCACAATCGGGCCGCTAGGCACAAGCCGCAAGATTCCAAACGTATCAAAAATTTGTCATGTTGAAGCTGCAAGATTTCAGAAACAAGTAGGAAAATTCTAATCCTGAGTGTTGGTAGCTGAGACATGAATTGGAAAAATCTTGCTGTGCGCCTGTGCCTAGGCAATAGGCATCATAAGCTAAGGCATGCACATATTGATTTAGACCATAGAATATTTAGGCTAACCTAACTTTTATTCTGGAATCTGGATTATGCTGTTAATGAATATTCACCTTTCTGTTTGCAGTCAAATCTGATCATTGGGTTGGGTAGTCTAAGTCATGGATGTTTGGCCATTAAGATTAAGGCAATACTCTCTTGCTTCTATGCTCAGGCTGCAGCTTTTAAGTAGAAATTCTGTTGTATTTTTCTCCAAATCTTGTTCAGAAAATTTGCTGCAATATCAAAAAGGTATTTTTCATCAATGTCTCTCATTTTCAACGGAAAATACAAGCAAAAAAGGTACAGTACTTAAGAGTTAAGACTGTAATAATCTTTTCATAATTATAAGAACTTCTGTTTCTTGTGGTGTTATATACAGTTATAGCTCATAGCCATGATTTAAGCCTGCAAAAGAGTTGTCAGCTGCACTACATTTTTAAATTTAGTTACCGTACTTGAATTGTTTAAAAATGTATTAAGTTATCTGAACTGATATAATTTTTTTTGTGTTTAGTAGTACAAAGTAATCAAATTCAATTGGCCTGTCAAAAATCTTTGGCAAACATTAGAATGTGCACTTAACTTTTAATATCCATTGTACAGCAACAGCATCAATTATAGCTGGTAGTGATTACATTGGACAGACTGCTATTATCCACTAATAATGACGTGGTACTAATATTTAAAATTCTAGTAGTTTTATCATTTGTAATTTATAAATCTATTTTTGCCCACAAAATTTGTCCTATTAATGTTTTAGAAACAAAACCACTAAGTGTAATAAGAGTTGAATTGAACAGGTCCTCTCCATGGAGTCAAGATTTTGGACCTGACTCGGGTGCTGGCTGGTCCATTTGCAACAATGGTGCTCTCAGATTTAGGTGCTTCTGTCATCAAGGTGATATCATCAATATAGAAAGCCACGTCAAGAATATTTTTCATTAATGAATGGTAATTGTGATATGATAAGGATTAAGGTATGTACCTACTTCAAAATACTTGATGGGGTGTACCAGTGAATTATTTTGCTTGGTGGCTGATATTTCAAAAATGTTAAGTAAAAATATCTGAATTTCAGTACCATCAACTATTTTTTTTAGTTAACTGGATAATGCTTATCTGTATCTATCCATGCAATGGTTCTTATTACTTGATTTTTTCAGGTTGAGAAACCTGGTATGGGAGATGAAACTCGCACATGGGGCCCTCCTTTCGTAGGATCTGAGTCTTGCTATTTCCTTGGGATCAACAGGAACAAGTCCAGCCTTGCGGTTGACCTGAAAACTCCGGAAGGAGTAGACATACTGAAGAGTTTAGCTGCTCAGTGAGATTTTAAATATTATTCTGGATAATATGGAGCTGTTTCACAGAAGTCTATTGCTGCTCAATAGGATGTTTGCATTGTGTTATTTTATTTTTTCAGTTTCATGATCTTTGTTAAATTTGTGTGTTTTAAATTTAGTTGATATAAAGATAGCCTATTATATAGGTATTTCTTATATAGTACACTAATCTCTTGATACAGTACTTCTTACAATTCATGTTGTTATTTTTTCCTTTAATCTAAGTGTGGTCATGATTTTGAAGTTTGGATGGTTTAGAGCCAAGCTTCCTAAGTTTTTTGTGACTGCCACCTAGCTATAAGGGTGGGTGGTTTGAGGCAACAGTGGCAAATTATTGCCAAATGATCTTGTGTTGAGTGGTAAATCGTTCATGGCATCATAGTATTTGCATATCACGTGAAAAATATCGCAAACTACTAATTGTCTGCAACCCACACACTTCCAAACTCGTTTTCTGGTACCTTCACCTTAACACTTTTTATCTCGTTTATTTGTGTCTCATTAAGTGATACTTTACAGGTGCGATGTATTTATGGAAAATTTTGTGCCCGGCTCACTGGCACGTGTGGGCCTCAGTTACGATGATCTGCAAGCCAGCTGCCCTGGCCTCATCTACTGCTCGTTAACGGGCTACGGGCCCACAGGGCCGTACAGCAAACGTCCAGGATATGACGTAATGGCGGCCTCAATAGGGGGCCTCATGAGTGTAACAGGGCCAGCACAGGGTCCTCCATGCAAGGTTGGCATCGCAATGACTGACTTAGCAACAGCTCTCTTTGCACATGGAGCCATCATGGCGGCGCTCATCGAGCGGAGCAAGACTGGCCGAGGACAGAAAATAGACTGCGATTTACTGAGCACTCAAGTTGCGTGCATGACGAACCTCGCGTCCAGTTACCTCAACGGAAATGTTGAAGGTAAGCCTTACGGTTCAGCGCATGCCAGCATCGTGCCGTATCAAGCTTTCCAGACCAAAGATGGTTATATTTCTGTAGCTGGTAACAATAATGAACAGTTCTCCTCTTTATGTCATAACATGGACCTGTCATATTTATTAACATGTAATAAATTTTCTGATAATAGTTCTCGAGTTCGCCACCGTGATGAGTTGTTGCCAGTGTTGGAGAAACGTTTCTTAGAATTGACGACAGGAGACTGGTTAGAAAGATTCGAGGGGGCAACGTTTCCCTACGCTCCAGTCAATACTCTGTCTCAAACTTTTGCTGACCCACAAGTGGTGCACAAAGAAATGGTGCAAACCATCGATCATCCAAGTATCGGACCCATAAAATTGCTCGCTCCGCCCGTGCAGTTCAGTGAATCTGTTAATCAAATTCGTAGTCATCCTCCGCGTCTTGGTGAACACACGCGCACAATACTGACTGAGCTCTTGAAGTATGAACCTCATTTTATCGAGGATCTTGCGCGACGGAAAATAGTACAGTTATGCGACGATTGAAGATTTGTCTCAACCATAGGCAATTTAAACACTTATTCTGTGAGTATAAGGCTTCCTTGTTCAAATGTATAAATTTACAAAATAGGTTGTTATCGAGAATAATCTTTTAAATCATAAAATCCATGCATGATCTCGAAAAATTTCGATTTTTCATTGTATTTTGGTTTCTTTCCTTTGGCGTTGCTCTCTGTGATGTCATTAAATGGCATTCCAGCGTATGAGTCAGTATGAGGCAATGGAAAAACTTTCTTCAAATTTCTAGATCTTGCCATCTTTTGCTCACTCAAGGTAGTGTAGAAAGTAACTTTCAAAGTTGAAATTTTTCATCAATTGTTCTCGAACTAGGCTTACATTTATAGTAGTAGGCTTTATAGTAGTAGGCTTAATAGTAGTAGGCTTACATTTATTTATAGTAGTATAGCTTGAGTCGTCGTTTCAAGTGAAATTATGCTTGACATGAAAATGCAATGAAAGAATGTATGGGATAATATTTAATAAGTTGTAACTTTCCGCTTTATGTACACTTTCGAAAAATTCTAGTAAACCTTTGGCTACCTACCCATTTACGGATGAAACATATATTTTTATGATATTTTGATGGCTCGGAGTTTTTTGTTAGCAGCGAAGCGAAATGTTCAATGCTGTTACGATGGCTTTTTTTGTACCTATGTTGGCATGTTTTTTCCTCTGGCATTAACTTTAATTCTTTGCACGCATTTTGTAGCAGTAATGCAATAATGAGGCATGTGATATCTTTGCACCATTGCTATCTGTTGAATGCTTACCATACTTTTCCTGTTATGGCTGGGCAGTTTTTTCTCAATTTTGGCTTGTGACGTGATGATCGCGTTTTTTTTTTCTCGTTATTTTTTCACCATAGTATTTATACCTACCTAGTTCTGAGATGATGAAGTTTGCTCTCTGTTGCGAAATGCGTTAAAATTTCCCCCAGTCTATTTTCAGTATTAAGAGCCTCTTTCATTAAATTTCGTTTGAGAAACCTGACATTTTTGTGATATAAAGTACTTTGCTCTCTGTTATGTTTAAATGAATGATAGACATAAACGTTTTTCCCATAAAGGATCGATTACAAACCAATTTTTCTTTCCAATTTCAACATTTTGCACGCGCAGCATTCGGCGCTGTTAAACCATAAAAACAATAACATTTTACTTCTGCGGAATTTAATCATTAAGTAATACATACCTATCTTCTTTTCCTATGGAACAAACTATTTTAGCTAGTTTGTTCTATCGGAAAATAAGATATATATTTCTTAATGATTGATTTCAATGCAATTTTATTCAGTAGTTAGTCCGGTTGTATTGCCCCTTCTTGTGCGAGATTTAAATTTCTACAGCATGATATTCTTCCTAACTTATAAATACCGTATACTTGTATTCTAGTACGTAATAATAGCTGCTACAAACACCAGGACGTGTATACTATACAAATCGGAGCTTACTCGATCGTCTCTGAAATCTAGAATTTTATAGCATAGAGGTTTGCAAGAAAAATTAAAATTACACTGATAAGATATTTTTGTTTACAATTTATGCAATTATATTTTATTCATTTTTAGTTGTGATTTTATTTTATTTGGAGAAATTTTCCATTCGTTTGGTATCGAGCCGCGAACTTTGCGTTTGTGACATATCATCGAACGGCCAGCCCTAAAATGTCATGCGTAGCTATCTCCATTAAAATGATTTTCTTATATTAGGTATTCTCTGCTTTACAATCTAATGCCCTTGGCTCCAATAATACACTAATAGATCTAATCAAATTTTTCCCTCCATTTAACGGGAGGAATCTACCGTGAAATTTTATAATTTTCGACGAATTGAAGTTTATCAATAACAAAATTGATTTGGCTTCTATTTTAGATCGCGTTATTAACAACAATGCTCCAGCAGCACTTATTGAAGTAAACTTAAATCAAGTTCATAATCCCATTGTGTAGACTCGTATAATCTCGGCTCAGACAGCGGTGATGAGGTTGACGTCATAGGATGACTCTTCTCCTTCGTAGGCCCGTGTTGAATCCCTGGGCGACTCGGCAACTGAATCGGCATCTGCAAAAATCAGTTCTTTACCAAGTGTGCGGTCAAAAAATTAGGCTTAAACTGCCGTTTGTCTCTCCATCATAATTATGACTTTAAATGATTTGATTATTTTTATTGATTGTCAGGGCCAATTACTTCTCTGATGTGTGACACAACGATTAGTATAGGGGATTTTTTCACTGTCCTAGCCGTCGATAAAGCAGTGTTCCTTGGCTAAGAATAGTTACTGTCATCGTGTATCTACAAAATACCTTGCTAGCTGGCGTTTTCCATCCGGGCCATCCCTTGTTAACATTACAATGATACGTATATTTTCACAGGTACTGAAGCGGAAATAATTATTAATTAATTTAGAAACACTATTGGTCCTCACCATCACTGCTGCCGTCATCATAGGTCGACGATGTGGTAGCTTTTGCTCGATGTTTGGCCTGGTGCTTTCCGCGTCCTGATGTTTCATCGACGATGGATTTGATCACGGGCGTTCCGTCGTCACTATCGTCGTTATCGCGTGCATCAATTTTATTCTCTTTAGCTTTAAGATTCTCAAGATCTTCTTCTAAAGTTTTCTTTATGTCGGCCTTGTGGCTTTTCATTGCTCGTACGTCGCCGTGGTCCGCGGGCCGGAAGCCAGGGTTGATGTAAGAGAACGGACGCACGTCGAACGGCACCTTCTTTGGAGGAATTAGCCCTGTGGGAGGCGTTTCAACTTCTCTGCAGAAAACGTTCAAACATCGTATTGAAAGTTTCTCCTTGATAATTGACTGCATGCATGCGGCCATGTGAATATTATATTGCATGCTTCATGGTGAAGCAAACATGAAGCAATAATTTAATCATCCTATTGCAATGATTAAGATTTGATAAATTTGAGTGCCTCGGATGTCAATGTTGGTACAAGAAATTTTAGACGTGTCATAAAAAGGAAGGTAACGTATTTCAAAACGTGACATTAGCGAGCATATCATCGACTTCCTTCGCTCATCATAAGTTTTGTTTTATAACAATAGTGATTGCTAAGGTTGATTATCTAGCGATCAATTTGATTATAATATTTATATGGTAATACTCACTCGTAGTCCGCTTTTGGCGTAGGTCGCTTCGGTACAGGCGGTTTAACGCCGCTCGTCGACACACGATGCTCCTCACGCGCTGGCGGCCGGGCAGGCACTGGCGGTCGAGCGCTGCCGTAGAATTCTTCGTCCTTGTAATCGTCAAGAATCTGTTCGGGATTATCGTATTCGTACCGGTTGGAGTAGCCTGGTGCCTGTACAATGCAAAGAAATAATTTCAATTTTCTTGGCGTTGAGGCGGGGGAACATTATTTAAATTTCGCAGTCACCTAGATTCATATGCGATACAAAAGAAGTCAAGCATGTTATTTAGAGAGTAATTTCAGTTCTTATGTTCAGAACGAAAGCTTGTCATCTGACTCGTTTCTGGCTGGACTGCCTTCGTATTTTGTTTAGTATAATTTAACCATGAATTCGATGACAACACTAACAGTTCGTGAAATATTAACCTGCATTGTTGCGTATCCAACGCCCTTGGTTCTTACAAGGCAATGGTAGAAAATTTTCAAAAAATGAGAAAGGATATGTTCCTTTCTGTTCGTATTTCTACAATTGTACGGAGTCGAATAAGGTTTACTTAGAAAACTTCGCAATGGCGAATTAATTTTTTTAAATTAGAATTTATACATGAGCTTTTCTCACCGTATTTTCTCTTCTCAGCGACATCCGATACGATGGATGCTCGGTTGGCAAGTCTTCATTGAAGTCATGGCCGTTGTTATCTTCATAGTACGAGTCATACGGTAGGGCGGCTGCATCTTCTGTGAGGTCCTCATTCTCAGGATCGTCATACTGATACTGTGGCATATTATTATATTGATCCTCATTCCTATACATGGACGCCGCTCTTGATCCCTCTCCCATTTGTGCAATAACTTGCTGATGCTGCGCCGCAAGACTAGGATTTGGCTGATACCCTACGAACCGAGGCGTCTCTTGCACTGGCCTCACGATTTCTGTGTTAGTTGGAGTTTCTTCGTGGCTTGAACTTGCCGTTGCTGCGTGAACGATGGGCTGCAATTCGACCTGTGTAATGCCGGCTCGTTTCAGCGAGTCTGTTTCGGTCAACGTTAAATGTTGACTGTCTTGTGTTGTTGGAGTTCGTATCGCACTTGTGGGTGTTACCACTGGTGGATCAGCAACCTGGTGGCAAAAACAAAGGCACATTAAATTAAATTTCTCGTAGGACGCTGTAGCATCAACGAGCACGACTATTCCATTGAGCTGAGGTCAAATAGCTTCAATTGTTGTATTTCAATATAATTGAAATGGAGTTTTAATCACAGTCAATCTTGAGCGTATTCAAATTTCTATTTCATCTGGAGTCTAGACGTATTCGGTAGACATCAGACATCACTATCAACTGGAGCACGGCATTTTGCAAAATGAACGAGTGATTGAAGGGAAATAACAAACTGAGAGTGAAATGAAGCAAATAAATTACAATTATTTGGTTCGAAATTAGGCTCTTCACTAGCTATCACCGGAGAAAGTTTTCGTCTATCGATGAACCGATCTGTGGCCTTAGTAACTATTGGCCATAACATAAAAACTGGTACTTTGCGCCCGTTAAATTCAACCTTAAATGTTGAAGTTTTGAGTTGCAGTGTCATGTGCAATTTATCCGTTATGTGGGGCTGACTTGAACTGCCTTTCTGAACAGTGAAGATTAGAGATTTGAAAAAAAAATTTACTTTCTTACTTTCATCTCAATTTTACATTTTGGCTAATTTTAGCTGTGGGCCTAAATTCATTTCTCTTCACAGATGTGCTGAATTTTATGGCACAATTAACATCGAGCCCGTTCCTTAAACTTGTATCTACTTGACAGCATTATTTACATCTTAATATCGCGAGGTCTTGAAGGTATATCTTCTTCAGCATTACCTATATCTCTATAGAACCCGTTCTTTAAACTTATATCTACTTGACAGCATTATCTATGTCTTTATAGAACCCGTTTCCTAAACTTATATCTAGTTGACAGCATCATTTACATCTTACTATCGCGAGGTCTTACGCACTTTGCTGTTGGCTGCGTTGCTGTTGAGTGCGTCATGCCTCACGTCACGAAGCGCCCTCGCCACGATCACGAAGCAGACGATGTTTAGGACGTACAAAGCCACTCCGCGGAAGGATATTAGCATCATCATCACTGCTGCGTTGTGGGCATTGCCTTCTCTGCGCTGCAGGGAGATGTTTGAACGTTTATTTTGCGTTAAGGTAGCTCTCGCGATCACAGCTAGTGAGCTATGAACGTTCATTTTGCGTTCAGTTAGTTCTCGCGAGCACACCTAGTGAGCTAAGAACGTTCATTTTTCGTTCAGTTAGTTCTCGCGAGCACACTTTATGAACTATGAACGTTCATGTTGCGTTCAGTTGGCTCTCGCGAGCACACCTAGTGAGCTAAGAACGTTCATTTTTCGTTCAGTTAGCTCTCACGAGCACGTCCAATGATTCTATGAACGTATAAATTGCGTTCTGTCAGTTCTCGCGAGCACACCTTATGATCTATGAACGTTCATTTTGCTTTCAGTCAGTTCTCGTGAGCACCTTTAATGAGCTGTGAACGTGTATTTTGCGTTCAGTTAGCTCTCGCGATCACACCTTATGAGCTATGAACGTTCATTTTGAGTTCAGTTAGCTCTCGCGAGCACCTCTAATGAGCTATGAACGTTCATTTTGTGTTCAGTTAGCTCTCGCGAGCACCTCTAATGAGCTATGAACGTTCATTTTGAGTTCAGTTAGCTCTCGCGAGCACACCTAGTGAGCTATGAACGTTAATTTTGCGTTCAGTCAGTTCTCGTGAGCACGTCCAATGATCAATGAACGTTTACATTGCGTTCTGTCAGTTCTCGCGAGCACACCTTATGAGCTATGAACGTTCATTTTGCGTTCAGTCAGTTCTCGCGAGCACACCTTATAAGCTATGAACGTTCATTTTGCGTTCAGTTCTCACGAACATCCTTTATGAGCTAAACGGAGACGATCAATGATGTAATTTTTGTTTTCAATTGATGAAAACTGGGATGATTTCAGGCAATGATGCTTTTGAGTGATGTTTTTAAAATTAGACGCGAATAAATTCAGTAGTTCGGATGAACTTTCCGCAAGTTATTTCGTTATTAAGATAAATTCGCTATTTGTTCTGAGTAAACATTAGTTGCTTCTAGACGTTTAACAATTATTTAATTTAATCTGGAAATTTTGGCAAAAATTTAGGCGACAACAAATGGGCACAACTATCATCTACTATTGCAATTCAAAGTTGAGCCCATTGAACTATTTTGTTGATGTTGCCAACAATCTTTCATTATTAGCTTAAAGCTTCTCTCCCATCATCCTATTGGTCAATGTCTGCTTAATATGAGTATCTTTTATCAATATTTTCATTTTCAAATTATTATTATTTCCTCTGTATAGGAAAATATAGAAGATACTCACCCCAATGTCCATACTGTAGAAGACTCCCGTGACCGTATCTAGGATAATGATAAGTGCGCCGGCGATGAGCCACAAAACGTAGTCTCCCCATACTCTTTTCTTGAACAATTCTGTGTCGAAGAAAATAATTTCACTTTATTTCATTTCATTTCTCTACGATTTAATGAATGTTTCGGTACATCATAACTCATATAATTGAGGTGCAGTTTGCTCAAACAAAGCGAATTCTTGTTTTATTCGGTATTTCTGCATATCAAGAACTAATTTATTATTGTTTAAGGAAAATTTATTTAGGTTTGAAGATAACATTAATTAGTAAAAACAAGTTAGCATAGAACGCATATTGCAACGTTGCTAGATGCTTGACTTAGGTCTACTCGATGCGATGCGACGTCAATATTTGAATGGAAGCGCGAGAACAAATGTTGAATTTTAGCGCTGTTTTTCTCTGATTAGTCATTAGTTGTATATATTTTCACGAATGCAAAAATGTTTGTTTATTATCCCATGTTAGTATATCTTCGATTTGTGAGAATTAAGTTGTTATTATTCCTCAATTTTACTTCTGCAATCCCGATATCAAATAATCACTCAAAGCATAATACCTATTAATGTAGTAATGTCAAGTAACTTCTTATCAGATAATATATAAATAATAATTGTTAAGGCATAACTGACGTGTAAGCAGCACAATAGCCCCAGCTATCCAGAAGGCGTGTAGGGCGGTGTATGAACACTCGTACGCGAACACTGCGTTAGGGTTCAGCGGCTTCAATTCTGAACATGGCGTCGCGTTCTGCGATGTTCCTGCTCAAAAAATGTTTAAAATAAACAACTGACTTGTGCTATGACAACCTGGGTATGGAAGTGTACGTTCATTGATTATAAAATGTATATCAAGCAAGCAAACGTCAATCAGAATTTTTTTTATAGCATTATGATTATTTTTTTGACGCAGGGTCACTTTAACAATTCAAGAAAACTTTAAATCACTCGTACCGAAACTGTGAAGTTAATTGAAAATATTTGCTTGACAGGCATGCTAATGATCTGTATCAACCTTGGTTAGACTTGCTTGAATTCACCTTCACAATTTTGGGTCCACCTATACTGAGTATTACGTGTGCATATACTTTTTTTACCACTGTCTCTTTGGGAAGCTTGTTGGATGAATGATAATAGTTACTTTATAATCTGTAATCACCATATGTAGAAATAAGTGTATTCGACTAAAGAATAGCGGGTGTGCGTTTAAACTTGAAAACGTGTGAAAGGATGATCTTCATAACTCATCGCCACTCTTAATTATAACACGTACTTTTACGGACGTTGTCTGGTGGGAATTTACAAATCTTGCAATGCATATGCCCATTGTTTTAAATCCATAGATTAGGGGTTTTTCGGGGGTTTTAAAGCCAAACCCATGGTTTGAAAACCATAGGATAAAAATCACAGCTTCTTCGCTTGTGGATGCCTCACAAGCGACAGTTTTACTGAACTATCGCCACAAGATTAAAATTTCATCTGGGGATATTTTGCACATTAACCTAATACATTATTATTTTAACTCACCGCAATCGAGATAATACGAGGCGTACTGTACGAAGGAGCCGCCTTTGCCTCTCATGGTCTCAGTGCCTACGAGTATGAGCACGACGTTGATGCCGATGTAGCCCAAACATTGAATCTGCACGAGAGAATTTCGTCATCTATATGCTTTACGTCCTACGAATGACATCTTTTTCTATGCTCATACCCTGTGACGTGTTTGGGTTGATGCTGATGCGCCACCTTCGTCGTCATCCGTATCCAAGTCGTCGATAGGCAGGTCGCCTCCTCCCTTGGGTCCGGAGGTAAGGTTGAACGTGTTCCGTCTATCTGCCTTTTATTGAGCCAGCTGATACAAGAAGCTGTTGCTTGTCAATTGGTGAGGGTAGTTTCCTATAACCGGACGATCCCGGAACTTGCTCAATAACTCGTCCAGTCGTTTCTTGAATGTCGCAAAGGTGAACTCCCTTCCTCTCCGCTCATTTTACAAGGCACTAAACAGCCTCGGTCCTACCACGGACAGTGATACCTCATGAAGAGTGTGCTCTGGCCAAAGCTCGGTTAATGAATGGGGGAATCCTGCAGTCTCCTCTTCCTTATTTCGTTGAAAAATGTCATTATTTCGAAGATCTCACATTCAAGACTTTTGGAGATCCCACATTTGGAGATCTCACTTTTCCAGTGAGTTCGGTCCCAGATGTTTCAAACTGCCCCTGTAGTTCAGCTACAGCTCCCTCAAACCGCTGATCCTGGACGTGAAAGTCCGCTGGAATGACTTGTTTCCGCTCCGCGCCCGCCATGAGTGGCGCCCAAAGCTGGCAGCAGTACTCAACTTAACTATTTCCTCGATGTGGTCATCGAACGAGGCTTCGGTACTCATCGACACTCCGAGATCTCGAACAAGTTGCTTATCCTCAATTTTTGTGCCGTCTGAGGCTAAGTAGCAATGTGGCATCCCGGTCTCTGTGTCATAAACTAACTGTGTTTCATATTGAGTTTGCCTTCATTGTGAATATTTTCATTCATTTAGATGTGTATTTCTGACAAATATGTGAGTGCCCAACTTTTTAAGCTACCAGCATTCTACCTTCTGTTAACTTCGTAGCCGGTTTTAAATCTTGGCTTCCATATCGCTCAATAATCAAGTTAACAAATCATGACAGGAGTTATATACATATCTTCTTAAGTGTATTCTATAAATATTTTAGTTCGTTTAGTTAGTTCAAAAGTTCATCAGCTAGATGAATGTTGACACACATTCTCAACAATTCTTTTTAGTGATACGAAATATTTGTAGAAATTATTCAGATAAATTAGACACTGATCTTGTCATCAACCGCGGACACTTGTATCGGGCCTCTTTAGCCGGGCATGTTTATAAGTACTCCTCAACCCGTACACATTAATCGGCACTCATTAACCCGGATACGTTAATTGGCACTCATTAACCCGGACACACTTATCAGCACTCCTCAAACTGGGACACTTTTATCGGCACTCTGCGACCCGGACAACACAAACTCGCCTAAAACTTTGCCGCTTCGTTAGTGAATATCGTTTTATATAAACGTGTATTGCTGCTATTACCAGCACAGTCTTGTAATGAAGCTATATTTCATTACAGTGGCTCAAGTTTTCAAGCTGATGCTGGCCCATATTTCGTCGTCTTTTTAGAATAATGCCAAATATGACTGTCATGGGAGTTATGTCCTTCCCAGTTAAAATTTTGAGCCGAGACCGGCGCCGGGTTTAGCCGGGCTGGTCGCGCTTTAGCAGGATGGAGCCGTGAAACTATAACCGGCCATCTATCCCTAAAACTGCGCTGCGCCATGGCTGATATAGAGAAAAATTTCTAGCAGCTGGGCAGGGACGGAACGCTGCGCTGTTTTAGCGCTGGTACTTGGATTGTCCGGCAGGGAGCTGTGCAGAGCAGCTAGCAGGCCGTGCATGGGGGGGTTTTGAGAGAGGGAGGAGGGGTAGGGGTTGGAAACAGTGAGTCAGTAACGGGAGAATGAACTTTAGATGATGGCGAGTCATTTGTTCTGTATTATAGTTAAGTAGTTCATAGAGCCTAGCATGGTAAGGTGTTCGCGTGGCCTAGCTGGTAGAGGCGTGGACATACGACGCGGAGAACCTGCGTTCGAATCCCGGAGCTTCAGTCGACGTTTGCAGATAGTTCATAGCGGTGAGTAATTTGATGTGTATATTTCCTCGATAAATGAATTTGTTAGATTCCAAATTACGTTGCTAATGTCAATACGATGAGAATGTCAGTAACCAATGTCAATACAACCTGTCATTGCAAGAGAGAAGTCTAGGTGATCTCAGAGAGAGAAGGAAAAAAATTTTTTTTAATCGTTGTTGACAAACGGTGACGCGTAACTGCCGCGTACACTGCCAGAGCCGCCCCAGAGCAGGCGTTGGGCAGGTTTGAGCAGGCGGCGCTCAGTAAGGGCTGCATGACGGCAGGACAGAGCACACCTGGGCAGGTACTCAGAAGCTAATTAGCGCTGATACGCGGCTGGCGATATCGTCTCTAAAGCGGACATTTCTGCTCTATCGCTGCCCTGTCGCGTCTCTACGTCGGCTCTGCAGCCGGCGACGGCCTGCTCTATTCCCTGCCCTAAATTTTAACTGGGTTAGCTATGGGAGTTTTTAAACATTGTCTGAGAATTAACACCACACTAAGTCTCATTTGTTATCTAGGGTTAAATGTTGAATGAAAACTCTTCCGAGTTTCCGGTTTTGTTAGCTTAATGAATGCTTTATTGGGTCAGCCATAGCGTGTTGGGAGCGTATAGCGAGCGATAAGATATCAACTAATTCAGTGTACGCTTTGTTAAACAGCAGGATCAGTATTATTTCCTCGATTATTGCTTCATTCTTATTGCAAAGTTGGTTATTCGTTTCAGCCTCTGATCACATACTAAAGGAACTGAACAAAATTGTATGCGCTACTAAATCGGTTTCAATGTAAACGAAATTTCTGTCGCTTTTAGTATGAAACCAGTTAACAATTAACTAGTTTCCTAAATTAATTAATTGGTTTACTAAAATTATAATGAATTATTTTTCATACTAAATTATTTAAGATTACTTACCACTGTGTAGGCCGCCACTAGCACCGTGATCTGGTAGAGATTAAGGCACATTTTTCTCTTCTCTGGCCCAATGGGCGAAAAAATTAAAAATATCTAGGAACTCCGCTAAGAGGCGTAATTTCAAGGATTACTCTTGATAAACGTGTGTGAAAGTATTATGATAATAATGTTACCTAGCCACAAAGCAAAAATTTGTAATTATTATCAAAGTTTTGAGTATGCCCATTTTACGATGTGTGCTTACGAGTCACATTCCTGTTCTGGGTCAGTGAAAATTGGATGTGCGAAATTAATTCGTGCTATCCACGTTATATACTCGTAGCAAAACCTGGCCGCGGGAGATTTCTTCCTACAAAATCGTACTTTTATTATGGCAATACTCTTATCTGTGAGGATTCAATTACAGAATAAACCAGCAATACCTCGAGAAAATGATACCACAACTACTTTCCACTTGATCATGCACACAAAATGCGACTCTAGTTATCAACGAAATATGACAAATTATTGGACGAGGTTATGCAACAGCACTTATACTGTTTCACAATTTTGTGTACCATTGCTAGCAGTCAACTCAACCATGAAAGGCAACCTTCACCAGCGTATCATCACTCTACACTCAGAATTAGAACTGACTCACAAGGCTACAATCTCGCTACTTCTTTTCTCTCGTCGATATCGCCCTTATCTTTTTAGCTTATCGTGCGTATCGAAGGCTTCAGTGCGTGTCATTTCAATATCATTGATATCATTGAAGATTGAAGATCTTCTTGCGCAATATTATTGTTGGCGGACCATCAGCCACTCGTAAACTGCCAGCAGTCAGCAACCCATAAACTGCCAGGCGTCAGCCTCCCGTAAACTGCCAGCAGTCAGCAAGCCTAACTGCCAGGCGTCAGCCTCCCGTAAACTGCCAGGCGTCAGCCATCCGTAAACTGCCAGGCGTCAGCCTCCCGTAAACTGCCAGGCGTCAGCCTCTTGTAAACTGCCAGGCGTCAGCCTCCCGTAAATTGCCAGCAGTCAGCAAGCCTTAAACTGCCAGGCGTCAGCCACCCATAAGCTGCCATGCGTCAGTCACCCGTAAACTGCCAGACTTCAGCCTCCCGTAAACTGCCAGTCGTCCGTTGCCAGTTAAAGGCCGGGTTCACACCAGACTGACGGGCGCGTTCTAGCATAAGCCAGTCACGGTCTACTTCAATATTCTTGAATGCATTTCCATAGAAGCATTCACACCATGGACATGGCATGTGCCTAGCACGGCTGGTGTGAATTCTTCTGTAGAAATGCATCAAAGAAGATTGGACCGTACCGTGACTGGTATATACCTGGCACGTGCCCGAGTATGGTATGACTAGCCCGCCTAAATTAAAAAAAAAAGGAAGTTGTCGGCACCTGGCTTGCTTACTTCAATTTTTTTTTATTTGAGATCGTTTTTATTATTTTGTTGCAATTGTTTACTGTAATTTAAATGCAAGATTTAACTAAACATTTTTGGCTTCCTTTACTGTATATTTAAGCATATATTTGCATCAACTGAATCTCATTTAATCGGAAGGTTTGAACTTCTTGACCATGTTTTATCTATCGTCAAAGTTATTATCGAACGGTTTTCGCAGTAACGAACGAAATTCTCTTGATAAATCAGGAATGCGCTATACGTGCGTGTTCTGTAACATGATGCTGCAATCATCATATCGCACTGATATCAACATTAGTTGAAGAATACTCAAGTTTGTGAGAGCAATACTGATAAATTAACTGCTCCTAGAATCTGAATGTTGATTACGATATTAATCGAGACATGTGATGACGATATCGTTTGTGGTTCCTTTATATGTTTATTATATTATACGTTTGGTACGCCTATTATATTATGAGTTTGGTACGTTTGTTATTATTAGTTTGGTATGTTTATTATATCATACGCTTGGTACGTTTTTATATTATGCGTTTGAAACGTTTATTGTATTTTACGTTTAGTACGCTTATTATATCATACGCTTTATACGATTATTATATTTTGCGTTTGGTACATTTATCTTTTTATCTATTATATTATACGTTTGGTACGTTTATTATTTTATACGTCCGGTACGTTTATAATATACGTTTGGCACATTTATTATATTGTACGTTTGGCACATTTATTATATTGTACGTTTGGCACATTTATTATATTGTACGTTTGGTACGTTTATTATATTATACGTCCAGTACTTTTATAATATAAGTTTGGCACATTTACCTATTATATTATACGTTCGGTGAGTTTATTATATAATACGTTTGGCACATTTATTATGTTATACGTTTGGTACGTTTATTATATTATAAGTTTGAAACATTTATATGCGAGACAAAAATTGTCTTCGGACTGAGGATAAAAATCCAGACAATTTTCACCTTTCTTTTTAAAATTTTAAAAATCCTGGACAATACCGTGACCGGACGTCACAGTATTGGAATTGGAACTGTACAATTTCCTGGGATTTACATTTATTACGGTAAGTGAGAGAAATCGAGACATGCCAGTCAATCCTCAATTTGAAATTAATTTATAAATTTTTTGAGCAAAATTTGGCCAGCTTTCAACATTTTTATTGGTTTTAATTTGGAAAATGATATTGCTAATGCCCATCATGGAGTTGTGGCAGCCGCTTGGCCTGGCTACTACTGACCGCCACTAATTCTAGGCTAGTGGCCTCGCGTAGAGGGGTACTGGCTGCTGCTGGAGCTATTAGCGAGTGTCTGTCAGTAGCTGGTCACGTGACCAATCAACGGTCTTTTTATTGGCTTAATTTAGCACAGTTAGGATTTATATCGAATTACGTTTCGCGGTTTATAAAGAATAACTTTTATATCGAAAACTAGTTATATATTATCGACTAAATCTAATTTCGTTATCAATATGTTATGCACATATATCTCTCTCTCAATTTTGATTCACTTCGAAACACTCTCATATATGAATGATCTACTTTCAATGTATATATCGGACTGCAATTTTGATCTATGATTAATTCGTATTTTTTTGGCAATACAAATTGCATTGAAGTCGACCAATGTATCCCCCATAAACTAAGAATTCAACATTCAGCATAATAATATCAAGTCAAGCGGTTGATAATCCAGATAAATTCAGGGTAATTTTCGTATTTTGTTTTCTTTCAACTTCAAACGTGTGTCAACCATGACATCTTCATATACAAAAATATTTTAGCCTCGTAATAACTGCAGGAACCGAAAATGTCTTGGTTATAACAAAAACTCATGCTCCGAGATTATGAAAGTATTTCTTCCATCACTAATACTCGTTGTTGCTACTCGTACCTTGGCTATAGAGTAACTTCAAAATGAAACCAGTGATGGAAAAGGACCCTATCAATTATTTTGCATTAAAATTACGTACTGAACAATTGTGATAAATACCGCTAATGTCAATCTGTAGATGTATTTTTTGCACTTACTATTCACACCTGTCCGGTCGTGGCAGCGCCCATACGTTTACCAGACGACGCCATGGGCATGGCTATGCCTCTCGACCAGTCTCTGCCCGAAAGTGAAAGTGACAGCAGAGAGAGAGCAAGCGCTGCACTGTCGTTAGGCTTGCTCCATGAGCAGCGCATTAAGATCTCTCTGTGATCGTTTTACCGGTTTGCATATAATAAAATCATGAAGAGAACATAATATTTCTAATTCGTTTTCTGCGCATGAGGGAAACGACAACCTTAACGTGGAGTAAAGAGAATTTCCCCCCAGTCCGTCGAGTCGCTGACGTTACACGTGCCCGATGAGCAGCGTATTCGAATCTCGGTGCTTGTTTTAACTGTGCATTTCGAAGATAGTATCCTAATTTTCAGACAAACTGGTGCCAGTTTGTGTGTAAAATTTAGGTTTAAACTAACGACTTGATGAGGGGACAGTGAAAGAGTGAAGAGATTTTTTTGCCCCGTCCGTATATATAGTTGTTACTAATGAGCTTTTTAAATACAAGCTTGAAATTATGCGGTTAAGCATCTGCTTTAACTTTTTGCGCCTCAAGATGTTCCTTACGATGATTGTGAAAAACTTGTGATGTGATTGCTAGTATCCATAATATGAAGTCGGATCACTAATTTCTCCAAAGCATGTGAAATTTCGTTGAGCTTGTGGTGCAAAATATGATACTACTGTTTTTTGCAAAAAATTTTCAACGTCACTTCGTGTACAGTGGAGTATATCACTATTATCACAATGCTTCGAGCAATTAAAAAATAGAGAGTCATTGAGTTATTGATGCATCAAGTGGTTTCATTCATTACGTACCATTGCATGTCGATTATTAATTATAATCACGGCTCATATTAGATAGAATTTTGTTTATTTCTTGAAGTTGATATATAATAAACAATTATCAGAAATTGAGGTTACATAAATTTGTCAATTATATGTTTTCTGGGTCTCTGCAAGAGATCGAGTGTTGTCTTTCACCAATAAACCGTACAATTTTGTTCTCTGACAATGTTGCATATTGTTCGATCTTAAATACCACCGTAAAGAATACATCAATGCAGATATGATACCGTGAACAAATACCGTGTATCCTGACAAAATCGTCAAAAGATAATCGTCTGACATTTCTGTATATAATCATGCTGATTCTTCAATATCATGATCCAATTAAGAACTTCGAAATAATTAAAAGTGACGGATTCATCGCTCGAGTGATGCACGTGATGTCTGTCAAAAATAGCATGAAAGCACGATCATTCAGATAACAAATATTTTATAATCTCTGAATTGATTGAATTGCTATTTCCAGCAGTATGAGGTTATCGTTTCCCTCGTGTGCCAACGCCGCATTCAGAATTTTAAATTCTGTGTATGATTTTATTCGCTGCATACGTCGCTTATCGATTGTGTTTAGTTCGCCTTCGCTTAGGCAAGAAATACCCAACAGTTTAGGCAACTCTAATTTCAACGTTATTTATACGATTTCAGATAATAGCGATAACAAAGAGCTATGTAGGTAGTATTGTACTTATTTCTAGAAGATGACAAAACTCGATTTTACTGAGCAAATTATGAACGACTATTGGAAAGCTCAGGAGAAATGACAAAAATTTCTTTGGTAATTTTACGCACTGCGGCGGTCGCTTCGTGCGCTCTCCTGATTTTCTACTCGATCAGCAGCCTTCTCTCCAATTATGAATGGAGGCAAAACGTCAGCTTTTGGGGAGAGAAAAATAGCTTTGACTGGAGTCAGCCGAGGTGAGCGAGATACGTTTGACCTAACGCTACGGTATAAAAAAGGTATAACGCTACGTTTGACCTTTTGATCGTGTCTTCCGTGACATGGATCCTGTTTGGTATTGGAATGCTTTTTCAAGGTTCGGGGTTGTTTGGAGTTAAACTGTCTGCTGCTGCTATATTTTTCCGATGATTTTCCTGTGGGTACGTGTTTTACTATTATGTGTATTTTGTTGCTTGCCATTTTTTTTTCATCATCATTTGCTTCCAATACACAATATGTAAATAATCGAGCTCTGGAGTTAACGAATTGTAACTTTATTAAGATTACAATGAAGTTTCGCTATACGTGTTACAAAACTTCGTTCTTGAAAGTTTAATGCTAACACTGAATAGTGCCGCCAATAATATTTATCTTGTATCAATTGTGTGCTTAACAAATATAACAATTGATAACATAACCAAACATCTTAACATAACAACATATAACATAACCAATAGAGTCTTATACTATCAGACAATACAGTGCTTTCTTCGGCCAGACAATTTGTTTAGTCTGCTCGGACATTTCATATAGCTAGAAATTTAACATATTTAAATTATTTTTTTTAACTTGAAAAAGATTTAAGAGCTTATAGTTAAGCGTGAATAGACTTAAATTTGCATTGTGAAACTTAATAATTAGTTTCATTGCATTGTAAAACTCAATACTACATATAGTTTTCAAATTTTTTTCAATACGAAATGATTTTAACTTGCCTTGAATTTGTGCTTTTGTAAACGCATCGCACTCCTTCTTTCATTATTATTCAACAAGTGTTCACACATCCTCACAATAATGCTCTCATTCCGCTAATCGAAAATTGTTTTCAAGTTTCGTTAGAAGCACTAAAGATTCTCTCTCATTTTGTGCTTGTCGGCGCATGTTTAAGATCTGTAGAAATTCTATGGGATTTCGTGTTCGAAGTGACACTCCCCTGAATGCCTTCACCATGCCTTCCTCTGAATGCCTTCTGGCTTTGGGTCCCATTTGTGGGGTCAAATGGTCATGTGAGCTGAAATTATACCTTTTCACATACCTTTTTCTGAATTCCCTGAATTTAACTTCTCTCTCTCTGAAGCGGGTGTATCTCTGGTGTCGTTTCGTGAAAGCCTTCCATTTGAGAATTTCTTTGATTCTGTTTTAGTTCACCTGTTTTGATATAACTCTCTGGAAAACAAAAGCCAAACGTCAATGGGGATTTTCCGCCCTTGTAGGTGATCAAAGACTTGAGATAATTTCATGATCCAGATATTCTTTTTTTCTGCTTATGTTAAGATCAGGTTTACTGACATGCGTCAGCAAACCTTGTGGCCATCATACCTATTTTTACTCTCCGTTGTTATCCAATATTCAACCAGTTAGAATGTAGGCAATTTTAACTAGTTTTTAGGTTATATGCCAATGAGCTTAATCTCTACTATTTTTTTATTACAGAGAGAAACCCGACTTAGATAAAGAAATCCTATTTTTCAACCGCATTCCGAAAACCGGAAGCGAAATGTTTGTGCTGCTGATGACCTGGCTACAGCGGCGCAACTCCTTCACGCACCTCAGGCTCCGTAGCAACGATAGGAACCTCACGCCAGATCAACAGGTAGAACTTATTATTATTATTATTATTATTATATTAATAAAAATTACTTAATATTATTGATTATTATTGAATAACAATGATGACAGATCAAGAAGTGGGGACAGAAGAAGCAACATTTTATTTTCAGTGCACGCTCGAGTGGATGTTTTTCAGTCATTGAATAAGGGTTGCGTTGGGACTCTCCACTGTAACGTCAATGCATCACGAACGAAGCAAGAAATTCGAGAAAAATGTTATGATCGTGGATTTTTACAGTACAGCAAGATTTTGTACATTTCTTAATCACTGAAGCTCATTAGAATCCTCTGACAGATAATCGAGCAACTTCATTTTGATTATAGAATTTAAATAATTGGTTAAATTGTAATCTGTGGAATTGATTCGTTCTTATCAATTAAATAAGCGTTTATTAGATAGTGTTGAACTTTTCGCAGTTGTCCCTCGTGTCCGAAATGAAAACTCGCATGCAAGCTGCCGCCCCAGCGCAGCGCGTGAGTTTCGACCGCCACCTTCACTTTACGGACTTTGCTGCGCTCGGCGTCCCGCGGGTCTCGTATTTCTCGATGGTCAGGGAGCCCATCGAGAAACTTACGTCTCGGTTTGTGGTATTCTAATAGGATGAGTGCATACTTGACTGTGAAGTAAAGTAGGATGAGTGCATACTTGACTGTGAAGTCCCCTCAGGGGGGACTTCTAACGTGTGTCTGTGCTCGTTAGAAGTCCTATGGGATTTCGCGTTCCTAGGGGGATTGTTCCTGAGCGCCCCACCGCTGAGCTCGCGGTGTCTGACTGTAGGTCTCAGTTGTGGGGTTAAGTTATTATGTAGGTAGGATTCCTTACATTTCCCTTCTCTGTCTCTCTCGTGCGGGCGGCCGACGTCCCGTGTAAGCGACCTCTTGTTCGAGTGTCTTCGTTTCTGTTGCTTTTCACCTGTCCCTCCTTGTCACTTCGTCTTTTTGAGATGCTAACGCTGCTTCCCTCGAGCCAGCTTCAGCGGGCTGGACAATTGAGACCTTCCGCCCCTTGTGGGTGATGAATAATTGAGACCTTCTGCCTTGCTGGCGATGTTATATTATGACCTCCGGCGCGAAATAGCTCTATAGCTGAAGCGCTAGCAAACCATCATACTACTACTACTTGACTGTGAAGTAAAGTAGGATGAGTGCATACTTGACTGTGAAGTAAATTAAGCTTGCTAGTTTTGCTATTGGCGAACCTATATTATAGGAGAACTGAATCTATCTGTAACCGGATGAGCGTCTCGCGGGTTTCGTACTTCTCGATGGTCAGGGAGCCCATCGAGAAACTTACGTCTCGGTTTGTGGTATTCTAGTAGGATGAGTGCATACTTGACTGTGAAGTAAATTAAGCTTGCTAGTTTTGCTATTGGCGAACCTATATTAAGAGAACTGAGTCTGTGTATCTGTAACCGGATGACAACTGTCATAATTTTCATGCGATGTGAATTGATATGAAATATTTTTCTACTCTACGTATGCAAATAAATTGTTTATATTAAATTTTAAAATATCATATAACTTGCGTATTATGGAAGATTTAATTATTCATTGCATAATTTTTAGCATGTATGATGACTGATGTGATGCTGAGAACACTTATATGTATATACGCAAAGGCATCGAATACGACTATGACAATTTTTGTGAAACTGTTAATTTTGTGCATATTAGTTTATGATATTCGATACGTATCTACGACATATTCTTAATCAGTATTCAAACTAAAAATATTTTCATTGGAAAATCTATTTCCAAAGTACCCCATTTCTTGTTATTGAAGCCGAATAAGAAACACTATTTAGCTTAAATGCCACTATTTACTACTTTTTAAAAATTTTTTTAAAAAGTAAACTTGGTTAGGTTTTACTACGCACGCGCCACACCCCGGCCCTTGGGGTACACGCCCCCAGGCCGAGCCCTCCCCCCACGGGAGCCTCCCCCATACGCTACGCTGGAAGAATGCGTCGCCGCGCGTCATCCAGCGTGTACCTTCGAGCGTGGCCGCCACTATGACCTCACCATCGCATACTTCTGTGGTCACGCGCCATACTGCACGTATGCTGCTCATTATACTGCATGTTGTAGCTTGTACTGTACCTTGTTACTTCTACTGCACGTATGCATCTCATTATACTGCATGTTGTTACTTGTACTGTAATTGGTTACTTATACTGTAATTTGTTACTTATACTGTTATTTGTTACTTATACTGTAATTTGTTACTTATACTGTAATTTGTTACTTGTACTACAAGTCATTACTTATACTGCACCTTGTTACTTAAAATGTAATTCGTTACATATACTGCAGCTTGTTACTTATACGGCACCTGGTTACTTATACAGCAGGCTATTACCTCTACTGCACGTCGTTACTTATGATGAACGTTATTACTTATACTGCGCGTTGTTACTTAATCTTGTAACTTGCACAGCGCTCTGGTACTGATTCTGCACCCTGTTACTTATACTGAAAGATATTACTAACTTGCGCAGCACCTTGTAAGCGCGAAACTTACCTGTTCACAAACTAACTCGGCAATTGATTGAAAAAAGCCCCTTAATGCTAACAATTATATTCTTCTCTGATATCTAATCAAATAATTGCAAACAAAATTTTTTTGCATAAAGTTTCTTATTTGGTAGATAGGAAAACGAATTTTGCTAAGATTTCTTCCTCGTGAAGGGAGCTTAGCAATGAGGCAGCGTATGAAGAAGCTGAGCGCAACCTGGTGCGTCACTTCAGCGTCGTCGGGGTGCTGGAGGAGCTGAACGCAACACTCGCGCTGCTCGAGAACAAACTGCCGAAATATTTTTCCGGCGTCACCGAATTGTACCATCAAGATTTGGGAGGTAATGCATATGCAACAGTTGTTCATTTACTCACATATAAAATCTTTTGTATCGATAAGTATTCTCAGAATTTTTTCATGAATGGTTTTCATTTTCATTTTATTGAATTTTCAATTTCTCATTGAACCCTGAATAACCCCCGAATCGATCAATAGAGCCCGAAAATAAATCTAATTCGATAAGTATGCGGTTGTCATAGAAACTCCTGTTTGGTTGACCTCCAAACTATAAATTTTAAGTTTCTGAATTATAAATACCACCGCAATTGAATACATTTTCCCTCTAAAAGGTCATGAACGTCCCCTCATTATTATTAATAATTCTTCATGTTAGGCAATAAAGCCAGCGAGCTTGCCGCGTGACTGTAGCACAGGTAAAATATATTGCTTTCTCATCGAACGTCTGCTAGAAGTGGTCACGTCTGCCGTGGAGCTCAGCTGAATTATGTTTTCGCTGTATGAGATTTATATTATATCGCATGTAGTTTTTTTTAGCAGATTGATTGCTCAAAGAGTTCAAGTTAATTCTATCTGAGCTGTTACAGTTCGATACGCGAGTACAGTGATAGTGATTTGGCAGAAGCTGTTCTTTAATGCTAGTTTCTTTGAGAAAAGCAATAAAAAACTGGTTAATTATTAATACTCTTCAGTTTTCAAAAATATTGGCATTGATGATAGTGATTTCTATATTGGATTTTTCAGCTCCACATCTGAACAAGAATTACCAGCGTCCGCAGAATCTTTCCTCTTCAGCGGAGGCGGAATTGCGGGCAAACCTCAGCCTGGAGCTACGCTTCTACGAGACTGTTAGAGATCGCTTATTGCATCAAGCTTCTCAATTATACGTACATTGAAATAATAGGCTTTGTAGTATTACATATTTTGCTGGGTGGCAGAGAATTTTGAACGCATTGTCATAGTGTATGTCGATCTCATTAAATATGTATATTATCTACATATATTGACTATCGTAACGAGTGCTTCAAAGGACGGGCTATTTCAAGTCTGACGTGATATACAGTTTTGGGTTCAATTATTAAATTAATAAAATTTACTTTTAAAATAAGGAAGGAATTAAAGAGTCGATACTAGTAAATGAAGTTCAGCATATACTCTGTTATTTATTTGCGATAAACACTATTTACAATCTTTGACGGACTTTTTTGTTTCAACAATAGTATTAATTATAAGATTCATGTACAAATGAAGGATAGTAGCAAGCTAGACAATTATTTTGTTAATTAGTTGAAGATATCAATGTTCCGTTATCGGCATAGCGACCACTCGAAAACTGCCAATTTCATGCATTAAAATTCATCCATTTTTTAGCACATTTTTTCCTTCCGGTCATCTCATCGTCTCAGGCCTGAAACTAATCAGGAAACAAGTCAATTTACTAAAGTTTGATCTCTCATGATGGTTAAAAATTCAAGTGATAACAAAGTGAATCAAGTCGAACAGCATAAAGGTGCACACACAGTTACGTGGATGGAAATCCGAAATGCTGTTGCCTGTAGAGTGAGGCAGGAAACACGATATTGTTTAAATGGAGACAACATCTTGATGAAATAACATAACATCGCAACATAATATCCATCAAACTATGGCCTGACGAGACAGTACAATCAGCCGCAACATCAAAATTTTCGAGTGGGGGAAATATCAGCAGAGGCGGAGTTCCGTTGCCGTGAAATAAAAAAATATAGGAAAAAAAATAATTTTATGTATTGACAAATAAATATATTCTAGAACGCGGCTGATGGCCAAACGATGTGAAAACTGGATAAATTTCTGAGACAATTTCATAGTCATAATAACAATTCAGCGTAAGCCGCTATGTACAGCATTTTCCACAGGACGATGTATGAACAAGCCCATATGCGCGAATCTGAATAACTATCAATAAATTGCTAGCCAACGAGATGCGTAAGAGGGAATGAAAGGAAGAAGGTAACAGCAACCACATTATCATAAATACAAATATTTAAATAAATATAATCAGTCCATTTGTCGGTACTATAATCTAGTGATCTAGTCTAAGGGTACGCACACAGTGGAAGCAGGTTTGCCCGCGCGGGCAACCTGCTCTAACCTGCCGCAAGAATGAACATAGGATAATAATGTAAGTGTTCACAGTGGAAACCTGTACGAATAGGCTTCTGTATTCTATGGTTTCAGGCGCCAGCCTGAGCAGGTAACCAGCACGCTGGCAACCTGCTGTCACTGTGTGCGTACCCTAATGTTTAGTTTAGGTTTAGTAGCAGAAATCCACCTAAATCACACAGAGCTGCGAATATAAAATCAAAGCCCGAAATAAGGGCATCAATTCGTGCTATTGAGAAGGTTAAGTTACATCACTTCTACACAGCAAAAGCAACAGAGTCATCGAGTTGAAAATAATTATTTAGCAACAGAGTCGTCGAGTTTAGAATAATTATTAAGTGGGATGCTGGGTGAATATAGGTAATTAACTAATGAACCTCAGGTGACGCAACATTCAGAACAAAAATACTGGACGACTGCTTGCAATATTTCTAATTTTTATCATGAAGAGGTAAATAATTAAAGAAATTTTACCGCGATTGATCCAATTGTTGAGCAAACGTTCAACAATATTCTATTTAAGGCACAAAACCGCCAACAAAAAGTGTGAAGGCAGTAATAATTGTCATGAATCTATCGAGAAAATTCTTATTCAACGCTTAAACATGCTTCAGTAACAGGAAAAAATATAACTCAGTACTCACTGCAGTGAGTGACAGAGAGCGCATTTTCTCATCGACGAAAACGTGAAGTCAGACAGACAGACAGACGGACGGACGGACGAACATGGCGAGCACAATAGTGCATTTTTTCCATAAATGAGAAAATGCTCTAAAAAGAGTGTTTTGGATTCTGTAATTAAGCAGGAGAATTACTTGGCAAAATCAGTTGCCCGTCCATCGAGGAAAGCTTCAAACTAATTTCACAAGAAGACTCGAGTGCAAAATAGAAGAGAAGAACTAAATTAACACGTAAATATCACTCCATACATTGTAATCTATTTACTAAATAAATTTTGAATAGATAATATTTTTTATTTTTTGATGCCAGAAGTCAATAAATAACAGAGACGAAGGAAATAACATGGATTGAAAGGTTCCAAAGTACGCGTAAAAATTCGTACAATCGCTTGAATTTTCGAAATTCATTTTGGGTCAGGAAACTCCTCGTTTAGGATAAGAAGAGAGCAGCAATGAGATATAAGAAACCGAAGACTCTAATGCCGATGAGTGTTTAAATTACTCTTCTTAAACTTAACCCATTTTTTGTGCATCAATAACTTCGGATTTAAGCAAAAGTCAAGTCGGTGAATAAATATTTCACAAATTCTTTTTGACTGAGATAAGGGAAAAAGTCATAAATATCAGAACTCAGAACCGTGGTCACCGTAGCAGTATTACTAAGTAAACCACTTGTTATCAACAACAATATTCCACAAATTAAGAACAGCCACAACAACAACCTCCGTTACAACAGCAACCATGACGATCGGAATGCAGATTAGCAGCCATCTGAATCAAGTAACCGAAGTCATTATCTCAAAATAAAAAATCAGACACAAGTTTATTCATCATCGAAACTCAAGTTGACGCATGACAGACAGCGTTCTAGTTAACGCCTGCGGTAAAATTATAAGGCTAATAGCAACTCTAATTCAAGCAATAGTAGACAATTTTTTTATCGCGCGACTCTTTATATCGATTAAACGATTTTTAATTCAATAATAACGATTTTCAATTATATTCCGGATAGCAGCGGAACGAACGACGATGCGGTGTCAGCGGGAGCGCTGACTATACAGCAGGACGGAGCTCGTCAGGAGAAGGTTACCTGGCTGACCAGAGGTGCAGGTAACTACCCCAGCCTTGAGAAGCAGCCGCACCTTCACCCTCACCTGTCAGCCATATTATTTATTAATATTAATTTATTAATAATAGTAATTGATCAATTCCCGCCTGTTGATCATACGGTAGAATATTATTTTTTTGCATTCGCTCAGCCATATTATTTATTAATATTACTCAACTAATTATAGTAATTGATCAATTCTCGCCTGTTGATCATACGGAAGAAATATTATTTTTACGCACTCAGTTTAAGAATAAAGGCTAAAACTAAAAAAGTTGCATAGAACATTTTACTGAATAAAAATCCTAGATAATTTAGTAAAATGTTTTATGCAACTTTTTTAGTTTCGGGCACTCGTATCGTGTAAAGTTTGAGAGACGTTTCCATGCTAATTCATGTAACATGTGCTCGATAATTACCTATATAATCTATGGTATGATAGAAGGGTTTGGCAATGGAGGAAAAGGTGAAGTAGTAATTCAACTTATTAAATATAAAATACTGATTAACAAGAAAGACAGAATATTATTCACATGACACAATTACTTCTTGACAGTAAATATCGGTATAGGACATCAGATCTAATATTTGGCTTATGTTGCTAGCAACAGCAGTTTTTATAGTAACAATAACTGGCCCAATAAATTAGTGTTGGAATTTTCCGATAGTAGAGTTAGCAGTCGCTACATAGGTCTCTTATCAACTCGAATCAGTATAGATAAAAAAAACATTAACACGGTCCAATCATGCTATCAACTTGAATTATTATAGATAAGAAACACTAACAAGGTCCAAGCAAGCAACTAACAAGCGATCATCATGTGCTATAAACACAGAAAACTATCATAATTATCGACACTAGCTAACTTAAAACAGTATATACACTAGATAACATAATCATTAATTAACTACAATCATTAGTAACAACAAAGACAATAATACCATTTAAAACCTCACCGTGAACAACGCTCTTAACTTTAGCGACCTCATGTGGCGCGAGTTGCAGTAACGTCGTAAGGACAGGCAGCAGTCGTTCCCTTCCTACTTAACTACAATCGTAAGTAACAAAAAAGAGAATACCAGATAAAACCTTACCGTGAACAACGCTCTTTATTTTAGCGACTTCATGCGGCGCGAGTTGCAGTAGCGTCGTAAGGACAGGCAGCAGTCGTTCCCTGCCATCACTGCCGCTGTCGCCTAGTGTTATGAACTGCAACACGACGTTCTTAAGATATTCCAAGTTCTCCAAATGCTTCTCACGGTCGTGGTTGCGGCTACCACGACGTATTTCTTCCTTCAGTGCGTCCGTGAGCTGAGATAACTTTGCGTTCTCGGCTTCCGATTCATGAAGCAGGACAGTCACTTGTTCCATTCGCACCTCGTATGCGTCCAGCTGCCGTCATATACGAATTAATATGAAGATTTACATGAAAATGAAAATCTTTGATCAAGTATTTTATTAAGAGCAATTAGCAGAGCTGGGCAGCGCTACTTTGAAATGTAGCGGCCGCTACCGCTACATGCTCTAAATGTAGCGGGCGCTACCGCTACATTGCTTAAAATGTAGCGCGCTACTGCCCACCTCTGGCCATTAGGTACGAAAGATTTTGAAATATAAAAAGCGTTGGATCCAAAACATTGATGGGATGATTTTCAGATCGAAATAATTAATAATTCAAACCCAAGACATGATGCAATTTGGAGTCAGAATATAATGATAGTCGTTACAATTAAGATAATTAGAATGTTATTTTGGGTAGAGTACAGTGAGAGATTAATACAGGTTTATGATTATGCCCATGAAATATGCAAGTAAAAAAAGTTACTGCAGCGAAGATTGTGACGACTAGAACGTGCACCTAGGGAAGATAAGAAAGATATGGCGATGAGACGGAATAAAAAAAATCACCGAGCTCATTTGCTGGAGAATTTAAGAAGCTCAAGAAGTGCAACTCAAATTCAATAATTGTGTAATGGAATATTGTTAGTGTCACTTGAATAGCGTGTAGATGAGAAAATGTGTTCATTCCTCTGGAATTAAGTAAGGAGTTTCGAGTTAGGATTTGGGTGAACGCAAAAAGCGAAGCAGGCATCAAGATAAGAGTGTAGTAAGCGGCTTGGAAATGACACCGAGATGAAAACATATGTCATACGGTACCTTAGAAAAATTAAAAAAATGGAATTGGTAGGAAATGTAGCAAAGAAGCGGCACGTACGAAAATAGTGGAAAAATTGCACGCCTCACTGTTTACAGCTGCATAGCAAGGTCTTCTACAAGGTAAAATAACTAAAATCTCAAAATGCTCAAAAAAATCATTGAAAAAATTGAAACTAAATATTGCTTTGAAGTTTACCAAGATTGGCGACATTAACTCATTATCTTGGCAAGATTATCAACAAATGTTAACAATGATTGGCGACATTAACTCATTATCCTGGCAAGATTATCAACAAATGTTAACAATGATTGGCGACATTAACTCATTATCTTGGCAAGATTATCAACAAATGTTAACAATGATTGGCGACATTAACTCATTATCTTGGAAAGATTATCAACAAATGTTTACAATGATTGGCGACATTAACTCATTATCTTGGAAAGATTATCAACAAGTAAGTTAAGAACTTAAGCATTTCTCGTACCTTGGCTTGCATGGCAGACAGCTGACTGCTGACATAAGAGCTTTGGTCAGGCATATGGTCAGTGGCAGAGCCTGCAAGACTGGCAGCATCGTCAGCGAAGGATCCAGCTGAGTGTAAGCTGAGACCAGCTGAGTGTGAGCTGAGCAGCTGGTGCAGAGGAGGAGATTGGTAAGGTTCAGCATCAGCGTCCAGCGCAGCTGATGGAGATGAGAAGACGCCAGGTCTGTGGGACGGTGTGGGCTCCACCCACTCTGAACCCTGCGCACCATTGTCTTCGTTACTAATTATATTGGCTCAATTTAAAGCGGGTAGTTATTTTAAAAAGATTAAATTTAAAGCGGGTATTTTATAGAGGCTAAATTTAAAGTAGGTTTTTCATACAGATTGCATTTAAAGCGGAGTTTTATACAGATTAAATTCAAAGCGGGTATTTTATAGAGGTTAAATTTGAAGAGGGAACTTTATAGAAGCTAAATTTAAAGCAGGTATTTTATAGAGGCTCAATTCAAAGCTGGTATTTTATTTTATTTACCGCTCTTGTGATAATTAATTAGAGTGCCTCAAGTCTTCGATCATTAAAATTATTATTATAATTATGGTTTTCATTATTATTATTATAATTATAATATTTACCTCGCCAGCCTCTCGTATCATGGTGGTGACGTCAACCTTGTTTTATTATTATTATTATTATATTATTATTATTATAATTATAATATTATTACCATTATTATTATTATTGTTTTCATTATTATAATTATATAATTCACCTCGCCAGCCTCCCGTATCATGGTGGTGACGTCGACCTTAGCGTCATCAGCGCTGTCAAGCCTCCTGTGCTGGGCAGACGAGGCCTTCGTCTCGCCGTGTCCTGAAGGAGGCGCTGCAGAGGCGCGGAGCACAGACGCGTCAAGTTGCGTCTGTAGCTCACTCAGCTCTCGCTCGTGCACGCAGGCGAGGCTCTTCAGCTGCGCCTGCAATTTGATAATACATTCAATATAATATAATTGGATACTATAGTGAAAGAATGGAGGAAAATTGAGCGTCTAGAATTCAATAATACATACGTATAGTAGTGGAATGTCATCGAATACAATGGTGAATGGATAATGGATAATTGAGCAATCAAGCTGCGCCTGGAATTGAACAAAACATCCAGTAGTGAATGAATGGAAAAAATGACAATTGTGTAAGTTGATGATAACAAGAGAAGTAGCGCATCATCCTGTAAGTGAGTAATGTCAACAAGTGTAGACACAAAAACACAAATAAGGAGTAATGATGACGATGTTGGTCGCATACTATATTTATTACAATGAAGGCAAGTGGCCAGTGATTGCATTGAAATTGTTGAATGTAAATAATGCTAGGCATTCATAATTCAAAACATGCATTTTTTAATTAACTGGCTATATTGTTCGTTTTTATCTTAAACTTCTATTTCAATTTTTGATTCGAAACACTAAACGAGTGATATTGATAAAACCGCTTCAAGTCTTGAGAACTTCATGGTTATATTAACCAGTCACTGCAGCGGGTATCAAGAGCAACAACTTAAAAATGTACGAATTTCACATGTATCGCTCATCTAATCTCGGTGTTAATTCAACTCGAAATATTCTTTGTTTAAATATACCCGTACCTATTATTCAAAATTTAAATGCAGAGCTTTATCAAATTGGAACGCTCATAAAAAAAATCCAATAAAATCAAATTTCTAAGCATATATAAAAATTCCTTCTAACAAAATTTTCGAATTCTTCTTAAGGACCCGTGCTTGTCACCTGGAGCTGATTTGAAGAGCTTAACTGCCGAGTTTGTATGTCTCACCTCGGCAGTTAAGCTCTTAAGTTTGTATGTCTCACCTCGGCAGTTAAGCTCTTAAGTTTGTATGTCTCACCTCGGCAGTTAAGCTCTTAAGTTTGCATGTCTCACCTCGGCAGTTAAGCTCTTAAGTTTGTATGTCTCACCTCGGCAGTTAAGCTCTTAAGTTTGCATGTCTCACCGAGTTTGTATGTTTAATGCGAGTTTGCATGTCTCACCTCATAGCTTTTGACCATGGCTTCTCCCTCAGCTGCCATTTTAGCAACGAGACTCTGACTGTCACTCGTGATCTTCTTGATCTTCTCCTCCAGTTTGTTCTTCTCGTCCTCGAGAGCCGCGACCTGAGCAGCAGAGGCCTCAGCCTCCTGACGATGCTGCTTCAGTAGGCGCTCCTTCTCGCCTTGCACGAACTTGTGCTCCGACTGTAGCGCTGACAACTCGGATCTGACGTGAAAAATTCAAGTGAGAAAAGAAAGCTAACATGCAGACTAAAAGACATTGAAATATTATATACTTTTGATGGTATCTCTAGTACCTAATAGAGCGGCAACTCTGAGCTTCTGCGACTGAAGAAACAAATGAAAGGTTTCATTGTGACTTGGAATATATTGAACTGAATTTCGTCACTTACAGAAATAGAGCAAATAACAGCAGGTATACGTACACAGAAAACAAACACTCATTAAAGTAACGCAAGGTTTTTGACTCGGAACTGTTCATATCACCCAAGTAAAAAGTCCTAATGTATTTGGACTCAAGTAGCCGAGTGGTTTCTTTAAGGACATAAGCTCGTGTAGCAGAACCTAGAACCTGTACCCAGCAGAACCTAGAACCCGTACCCAGAACCTGTACCCAGCACAACCTAGAACCTGTACCCAGCAGAACCTAGAACCTATAACTAGCAGAACCTAAAACCTATACCTAGCAGAACCTAGAACTTATAACTAGCAGAACCTAAAACCTATACCTAGTAGAACCTAGAACCTATACCTAGCAGAACCTAGAACCTGTACCCAGTTGAAAGTAGAACCTATACCTAGCAGGACCTAGAACCCGTACCCGGGTGAAAGTGGAACCTATACCTAGCAGGACCTAGAACCTGTACCCAGTTGAAAGTAGAACCTATACCTAGCAGGACCTAGAACCTATACTTAGCAGAACATAGAACCGGTACCCAGCAGAACCTAGAACATATACCTAGCAGGACCTAGAACCTGTACCCAGCAGAACATAGAACATAAACCTAGCAGAACCTAGAACCTCCAGATATATAGGCTGAGTGCTCAGGAACAATGAGTTGAGTTTGTAATAACGTAACACGACGATAAATTTCGTGATACCCTAGAAATGACTGACAAAGGCTCTATTCAAACTGTATCATAAGAAGGGTTGCAACTCACTGTAGGTGTCTATTTGAATGCTGCAATGTCTGCATTTTAGTTTCCCCGAGCTGCAGCCGCTGCTGTAATTCTTCCACGTCAACGCTGGGAGTTTTTTGCTTCTGCTGTTGCTTGAGCACGCTCTGAGCGCGCGCTTTGTAGCCTGGTGAGTAAAGTATGAATTAGGACAAGCTTATTTGATTAATTATTTGTCTAGTGACGATAACTCTACTTACAAAGCCCTTAAATATTAGGGTTATTAACGACGTAAAATGTCTCCATCCCTGACGGGTTCAGTCAGTAATTGAATGGATGCACAAAACACTGAATAGCTTCAGATTTGTTCGGGTCCCTACAATTATACTTTACAAATAAAATATGCAATGCATAGAAAATTTTTAACTATTTAATAGTTTAAAAAGCGCGTTCAATAGTTCAGTAAAAAAAAAGTGTTACATGGTTGGTAACAATGCACATCATCTGCTCAATGCATAGTTACTAACAGTAGATATCAGTTGCTCAATGCGTGGTTATTAACATAGAATATCAACAGTTCAACATTACTAACAGTCGAACTCCTTGCGGACATGGATGAGCTCGTCTGAGGTTTGCTGCAGTTCGGTGGTGAGAGCTGACACGCGTTCCTCCAACGAGGCGATCTGCCGTCAGAAAATGACAATTATTACACTTAAATTTACCTCGATTATTACACTGCTGAAAATCAAATCACAATTTAAATACTCCTAAAGCTCATTGTATTTATCTATAACTATAATATTAGTACGAAAAACTTTTTGTTAACTTTTACGTTTATTGTTTCAGTGTAAATCATCTCTGCATATGACATCACAATGTGGATCTGCTAGTGGCTGAAAATAATGGACGAAATTTTATTCAAAAATTCGTTAAAAACTCTTAATTTTCAATCGATTTGGTAACCAGCAGTCCCTTTAAAAAGTATAACCAAAACGCTCAAACAAAAGTCTTTATAAGGACAGGATACAGACTAGATTCCACAGACTAGATATTGACTAAAAAACTAGATCTTCATTCAAGACGCACATGGTGAATAATTTTCATTTGAAATCAACTAAAATAAAGAACAGAAAGTAGATTACAAAACAACTAAAATAAGCTGTTTTGTAATCAGTCGAATATCATCTTATTTACACTACAGCAGTAGAATACATTTTTAGGAATGGGTTATAATGAATATTTCAGCATACCCAGACAGACAGCCGGACGGACATGACGGACACAATAGCGCCTTTTTTCATGAGAAAATGCGCTAAAAACTAGATCTTCATTCAAGATGCACATGTTAAATGACTCATTTTAAATGTCTTAGTTGTTTTATAATTAGTAGGTAGTAGGACATTTTTGGACAAATTTCATTCATTTGGACAAATTTTAAGACACATTGACCCTATTACTGTACCTCTTATCAAAAAGCTAGAGAGATTACGCTCAAAAGAAGTCCTCAATGAAGCTGGCATTACTTTTAACCAAATCAGTAGTAGGTATATCATATTATTTACACTACAGCAATAGAATACATTTTTAAGAATGGTTTATAATGAAATTTCAATAAGCTTGACCTGTTTAGCGTTGCGTGCTGCGGTGCGTCTGGCGAGTTCCTGTTCATGAGAGCGCGTCTGAGACACTTCTGTCACTGACACCTTCTGATCTTCTATCACCTGTGTTAAAATAAAAAATAATAAACCAAATGAAATACAAAATTAAAATAATAATAATTTATTTTACTCGTTCAATAATAATTTATTTTACATGCACAAAAGAATGGGAAACAAATAATTTATCCATCGTGAATACAGGAAAGAACTGCAAAAGAATTAACGACAATATGCAGACTTACTGTAAAATTGACGGAAAACAGATAATCAGAAGCATTGTAAAAATATTGTTGCGAGTTTTTAAACAGACAGAAGAGGGATGGAAAAAATAACAGTAATTAAAAAAATAAAATAAATACCGTACTAACAGTAATTTCGAAACGCGAGTGGAAAAAATAAGTCAAGAACAATAGTAACAACAGCGTCGGCCTCAACAATAACAACACCAGCAGGAGCGGCGTACAATCATACTCAACGGTAAAAACAGCATCATTTATTTATTCCAAGTAATATTATCCTCGTTCATCATCAGCGTAATTCTATTGTGTTAAAATTCTACCTCATGGTCAGCCATCAGAAGTTAATGCCTAATCAATAGTGAATAAGCATCATTTATTTATTCCAACATTCCAATTAATGTTTTCAACGTAATTCTATTCCGTGTTAAAATTCTACCTCGCGATCATCAAAAATTAAGGCCTCATGAAGTGAATAAGCATCATTTATTTATTCCAATATTCCAATTAATGTTATCCACGTAATTATTTTCCGTGTTAAAATTCTCCCTCATGATCATCAAAAATTAAAGCCTGAGCTCGCCTGTCTCAGTCTTTCAGCCTCCGCGGAGAGCTGTTGCTTCAGAACCCGTAGTTCGATGACTTCTTTCTCGACCTCAGCCAAACGTGACCGCAACTCTTCGTTACTTTTCTGTCCAGGGTTTAAAATTTTAGGAAATTCATGATATGGTAAACCATCAAGCAGATGGGGAATATATAAATTCTTCGATTAAATTTATACCTTCTAAAAATATAGCAGCAAATCAAGGACTACTACACACAGGACATGCATAGCCTATGTCCAGCCTCTGCTAGCAGAGGCGATCGCCTACACTATGAAAATGCTGTTGTTTTAGTGGCATCAACAAATGATATGCCCATAATTGTTTCATACAATAGTATTACAATGTGTGTAGTAGTCCTTGGTTACTACTACACACATTGTAATACTATTGTATGAAACAATTATGGGCATATCATTTGTTGATGCCACTAAAACACCAGCATTTTCATAGTGTAGGCGATCGCCTCTGCTAGCAGAGGCTGGACATAGGCTATGCATGTCCTGTGTGTAGTAGTCCTTGCAGCAAATGCAAAAAAAACTCAGTACTCACTGCAGTGAGTGACAGAGAGCGCATTTTCTCGTCGACGAAAACGTGAAGTCACGGACGGACGGACAGACGGACATGGCGAGCACAATAGTGCATTTTTATCATAAATGAGAAAATGCGCTAAAAAGCGTGTATCATTACACAAATTATTATTATTATTATGACCTGACCCAGAGATTACACGAATTATTATTATTAATATATTATAATATATATTATTAATTTATTATTACTATAACTTCACCCTGAGATAACACTAATTATTATTATTATTAACGTATTATCATATTTATTATTATTATTATGACCTCACCCTGAGGTGCTGAGTGGTGCCTTCGTCGGCTGCGTGCTGTGCTGTGAGATGCTCTAGTTGCGCCTCCAAGCCTGTATTATTATTATTTATGTAATTATTATTTATATAATTATTTCATAGCGTGTAGCAAACAAGTAACTAACTTCAATATCGAAAAATTAATAGCTCAATTAATACCGATATGTTATTAGAACTTTTAGGCGAGGCAAATTAAATGCATCAAGGCACAAAAGACGATCTGAAAGCAGTACGTTACTACGATATCGATAAGAAACAATTTAGTAAAGCAATTGCGCATGGTTGCTTAACATTTATCACAAGTAATTATGATTGTTTCTGTCGAGTCGTAAAGGTTTTGTGTCATCACCTATTATGTCATAAATATGACCAAGTCTGTCACATTATTCGGTGTCTATCAAAAGTTCTTGGAGCCAAAATGTGACAAGTCATCACAACGTCTGGTATAGTTTTCTGGCAACATGCTAGGTTTAGGGATTAGATTTAGATTACCCCTAATCCTGTACAGTAAAGTACCATGCTGGAATTATTCAAAGTTCCCGGTAGCAACGACTGGTAATTACTCCAAAATATAATTCAACACAGCATTCCTATAGCATTGGAACATGTGCAAGATAAATGTCGGCAACACGTAATTATTCTAACATTTGTCCTGAGACATGAAAATAATACCTGACTAACTCTTCTCTTTGTTGTCCTGAGACATGAAAATAATACCTGACTAGCTCTTCGCTTTGTTGTCCTTAGATTTACAAATAATATCCAATTATCTTTTCTCATAGTTGTCCTGAGATTGGATATACTACCTAATTATCTCTTCTCTTTATTTTCCCCAGATTTAAACTATTATCCGAATAACTCTTCTCCATGTTGCCCTTCTATAAAAACCGTGGCTAAATCTTCCCTTTGTTATCCTGCAATTATGAATTATAACGAACATTTTTCCGGGTTCTGCCACTTAAAACGTGGCAAAATTCCAACTCAGATCAGATCCGTTGCCTGCATTGGTGACAGAAATAATCAAGTTTAAGTGTAATTTCCTAGAGCTTCACTGCCTTTTCTTAGTATATAATCACAACGCAATAATTTTAGTGAAATCCCACTCACTTGTTCCACTTATCAAGTTTAAGTGTACGGTAATTTATTAGAGCCTGACTTACTTTTCTCAGCATAAAATCAAAAATCAATATCAATTTTATAGAAATCCCACTAACCTGTTCCACGAGTCCTGAAGCTTGCTCTTGCAAAGCCTTCATATCGGCCAGCAGCCCAGTTTCTCTGGTTTGCAGTTCAGTATTGGCTTCTTCTAGGGTCTGATGGACAAAATTAGAGCTCAAACAGGAAAAAATCACTGAATAAATTTGTAAATTTCTATCAGGAAGGAACAAGTTATCCGTCTACATCCCGAAGGACATGTTTCACGAGTGTTACAATCAATTATCACACCCGCTCCCTAAACCTCTGCCCCAATTGTCGTGTTGTAAAAATTAAATTATAGACCAAAACTAATCATTTTCTATTGATGAATGCCATAAAATTAAAATTGTCGACGAAAACTAATTAGTTTCTATGTTTCTATTGATAAATGCCATAAAATTTAAATTATCAATCAAAACTTTATCAGTTTCTATTCATAAATGTCATAAAAAAGTTCAAGTTATCAATCAAAACTTATCAGTTTTCATTCATAAATGCCATAAAATTGAAATTCTCAATCAGAACTAATAATTTTCCACAGATAAATGCACTAAAATTAAATCATGGATCAAAATTAATGATGAGCAACCTTGACGGTGGCTTTAAGATTGTCAATTTGTTGCGTCTGCTGAACGAGCTGGTCCTTGCAGGATGAGATCAAAATCAATAAGTTTCTATTGATAAATGCCGAAAAAAATAAATTATCTATCAAAACTAATCACTTTCCATTGATCAATGCCATTAAATTGAAATTATCGACGAAAACTAATCACTTTCTATTGATAAATGACATAAAAAGTAAGATATCAATCAAAACTAAACAGTTTCTTATGATGCGCAACCTTGACGGTGGCTTTAAGATTGTCAATTTGTTGCGTCTGCTGCACGAGCTGGTCCTTGCAGGATGAGATCTGCTGCGCGGCCTGCGTGAGCTGACCATCCTTCTCCTTGATGGCTCGAGTGCCGCTCTCTACAGCGTCCTGTAGCCGGTCTACTTCTGCTTGTAGCACCTGCGCACGATTAAAATCATCAATTAGATGGATCTATTGACAGTATTGAGTGCGTTCTGCAGCCGGTCTACTTCTGCTTGTAGCACCTGCGCACGATTAAAATCATCAATTAGATGGATCTATTGACAGTATTGAGTGCGTTCTGCAGCCGGTCTACTTCTGCTTGTAGCGCCTGCGCACGAGAATCTCAGTAATTAAATGGATCTTTTGAGTGTGCTCGGTTATCGAGCAGGATAAGCCTCTTAATAAATTAAGATTTACTAAATAATTATTACGTTATTAATCTTAACATGTTGACTACGATTGCTTCATCTTGTACAATTATTTCATTTTTTGTACTGTTTTTAAACAGGGTTGCCCGACGGTCATTTTTTCCGGGCAAATTCCGTGATTTAGTTTTTCTCAATTGCGTTGGCCGGCTAAAATTTATGATAGGGGTACTTCCCAATTAAATTTTAAATAGTGCAAAAATAAAATAAATGGAATTTTTATAGCAGAACCTACAAATAAACTAGTATATATTGAGTTTTTGGCCTTTTTTGACTTTTTTTATTCTCGGATTTGACCAATTTTAGGAAACCTGGATTATGTACCACTACCTCCTGGAGAAATGCATTTCGTGGTACACATATGTACCAATACGTAGTCAAAGTGTTTATTTAATAATAAATAAACCTTCTTCTAAGAAATAAGAAAATAAATCAGATAATCTCTTTTTTTTTCATGGCAACCACAAGAGAAGCAATGTTAGGACGAGGAGATCTAACCTGTCAAGGCTAGCAAACTTAAGCTGCATCAAATTTCGAAATGATTTTTTGAGAGTATTTATAAATGCTAAAATCTTCCATTACTAGTTACTACTACTACTACCTTTCAATTGTCTAATGCCAAAGTAAATCATTATTAATTTTGTCACAAATAAATTGTGAACGAGTGAAACTTCTATTACCGTCTAGACCTCAATACCTTGAAAATTCAGGTCATTACCACCTATTATTTATAAATACATGGATGTTCAACATGGATGTACAGATTATACACCTCAAATAATTCACCAGCACCGAGTATTCTACATTATTTCCAGCATTACCCATTACCTACAAGTGCATGAATTTTCTACATGGATGTACAGATTGTACAAATCCCACAATCACCAGCACCAGATATTCTACATTATCACCACCATTAATCATCACCTGTATATTCTTGGACGCAGCTCTGGCGGTTAATAATACAGGTCATTACCTCCTATTATTTATAAGTACTTGGATGTACAGATTGTACACCTCCCACAATTCACCAGCACCAGATATTTTACAGTATCACCATTAAAATCCCAGATCGACCTCCCCTGCAACACTACCAGCGGCGAGAAGCAAGCAACAGGATCGTGCATCAGGTGGCCCAAATGAGGGCGGGTGAACGACAGTCAGAGGCGGCGATCCATCGTGGCCTGGGACTGCTATGTCCCAAACAAATACTAAGGATACTAAGGATTCATCACCTGTATATTCTTGGACGCAGCTCTGGCGGGACCGAGCTGCTCCTTCTCAGCCAAGAGTTTAGTCTTCTGCTCCTCCAGAGCGTTGATCTGAACAGTCTGCTCGGCAAGCTTCTTCTTCAGCTTAATGGCCACGCTTTTTAACTGCAAGAGATAAACACTTGAGCATGTTTCCCAGTTTAATTCAGTGATATTTTACTAACTCGAGCCTTCCTGGCGTGAGTTCTTGATTATGAACGACAGGCGTGGCTGTGAAAAATGTTATTTATAATGTTAAATGCTTCCGCTTGATTCTGAAATCCGAATCGCAGAAAATCTTGAAATCTGAATCGCAGAAAATCTTGAAATCTGAATCGCAGCTTGAATCTGAAATAATGTTAAATCGCAGAAAATCAAACGAGACGCCACCAAATATATCGAGTTATTTCATTACAGTAAACCTGACGATGCAATGAACGGAAGTACTCACCTTCATGTATCGCTCCTCGAAAGTGTCTTCGATATCCTTGAGTCTGTTGGCTTCCTCAGCTTTACTCATGGTACTCGTGCTCATCACTTCGCTGGGGCAGTCTGTTGCTCCTGTTGTTGGGGGGACCGAAGCTGTGTGTACAACAGCTGAGGCAACAGCGACAGAGGAAACAGGAGTCTCAGCAGATGAGGTAACAGGAGCCGTAGATGATGAGGTAACAGGAGCCGTAGATGAGGCAACAGGAGCCGCAACGGCAACAACGGGAGCCGCAGCGGAGGCAACCGGAGCTTCGTTTGCAACAGCGGCAGCGGAAGACGCAGAAGTAACCGTGATCTGTTCTTCTAGATGCAGGATTTTCTGAATATAGCGAAAAATTAATAACTTATTTGGAATTAATCATGGAAATTCAGTGGAAACTGTAAATAAAAGCTAATGTTTGGAGAGAGAAAATTTCATTTTAACGAAAGAAATATGAAGAATAACTGATCCAACTTTGAATTTCCACCAGAAAACTTGTCAACATGACACTATGCGGCACTCCGTAACATTTAAGTTAAAAACCAAGCTGAAACAAGTCAAATGAGGAGCTCCATAAAACATATTAAGTTTCAAGATACAATTTTAAAATTGATCACCTGTAAAAGGGCTTCTTTTTCCAGCGTGGTTTCCGTGAGCCTATTCTGCAGCTGCTCGAGGTGCTGAGGCTGCTGCTCGAGGTGCTGAGGCTCCTGCTCGAGGTGCTGAGGCTGCTGCTTGAGGTGCTGAGGCTGATGCTTGGGCTCATTTGCTGCTGATGTTTGTCGACGTAAAGCATCTAGTTCGGCTATGAGGGCTTCACGCGCCGCTTCTGAACTGGTGAACTGAAAAACGCCAAGAGTTACGATATACCTACCGTAATTAGAATACATCGCTCACCTTTTAATACAATCAGAGGTTCACTATGACAAGGCTGTCACTATGACAAGGGCTGTCACTATAACAAGGCTTGTCACTAGGGCTGAAATTCTGCTGAAATGAAAGTGAAATTCTGGTGAACAACGCCTGAAATTCTGCCGCCTGACTCGTCAGGAAGAAGAAATTTCAGACGATTTCCAGCAGAATTTCACCTCCATTTCAGCAGAATTCAGAATTTCACCTCCAAGTCAGGCGGCAGAATTTCATCAGGATGGTGTTAAAAAACTACTGCCACGTTATGACAAGTGCCTAAATATTCACGAAAATTATGTAGAAAAGTAGATTAAGGTACAGGCTCTAATATAAAAATAAAATTATAGCGATATCTTTGCACGGCTTTTTTAATTCCAAAACGGTCCTTACTTAAAAAACATGCCTCGTATCTTACACATAGCAGCCAATTTTTCCTCTGTGATTCGTGAGTTCAGCTAGAAAAGATGTCAGTTATTAGCTGACGGAGTTACGTTTTATAGCGCAGCCCCAGTTCTGAAGTAAGACCTGCGTGAGATGGTGTAGAACTGGGTTCCCTCTACATCCACAGAGAATTAAAAGACAGCAATAGGCGAAAATAAAATTCCCACTCGAAGCTGGTCATTCCCATTATTATACGTCACATGTCGAGCCTGAAGAGGCACTCACAATATCATTGACTTTCATGAAATAACAAATGAGCATATACATAGTATTTCGACACTGATAGTATAACAAATGAGCATATACATATTTCGACACTGATAGTATAATAAATAAGTATATACATATATTGACATTGATAAAATAATAAACGAGTACCTATATACATATTTCGACACTGAGAAAATAATGAATGAGTATATACATATATTGACACTGATAAAATAATAAACGAGTATACCGTATACGTACATATATTGACATTGATAAAATAATAAATGAGTATATACATAATAATATAGTGAAGGGTTATCACCTGTTCTTCGATAGATTGCAGTTTAGCGCGCGCAGCATCGACCTCCTCAGTGCGCTGCTTCAGCGTCGCCTCCAGACGAGAAATCCTCTCACCGCGCTCCCGTAGCACCTTCGTTACCTGCACATTAGGTTGGTAATGGTAGTTACCGTGGTACCGTGCCACTAGAGTGATCGAGTTGACGATAAGGCGCCACAATGTCTGAAACATGTTCATCCTACCGCACATTTAATGGTTGATAGGACATCCATATTTTGCACTCGGGGTCAAATTTAGCTCGAAATAGCAACCAATTAAAATTTGTTCAATTAACTACATTCATTAAATATGTTAAATGTCAGTCACGGCTCAATTAATTAATGTCAATAAATTTGTCAAATGTCAGTCGCGACTGATCATCAAAATTTGAACACTTGACACAGAATTGCCCCAATAATAAACAATTTAGAATAAAACATATTTATCCCTGACACTCATGACTAATCATTAAAATTTGAACACTTGACATAGAATAGCCCCAATAATAAACAATTTAGGATAAAACATATTTATCCCTGACATTCACGACTAATCAAGTAATCATCAAAATTTACAAATTTTGATGATTAGTCGTGAATGTCAGGGATAAATTGCGATAAATTGGGACCATTACCACTTGACACAGAATTGCCCATAATAATAAACAATTTAGTATAACACAGTTATCCCTGACATCGTTCATCTCGTGTAGCAGCTCCTGCGCCCGCCCCTGCGCGACGCTGAGGTCGACGTCGAGTTGTGCCCTCAGCACCTCGCCCTCCTGCAGCGCTGCCGTCTGCGTCTGTAGAGCATCGCTGCACTCCTGCACGTACATGTTAATTAATCTAGAGAGTTATTTATTATCTTAATTAATGCTTAATTGAGATAATTAAAATTGGGAAGACATCGCTACCTGCGATCTGCGTCGGCACAGCATCGCTGCACATATATCTTAATTAATTTAGGGGGCTAATAATTATCTCTATTAATTCTTGATTAAGATAATTAAATTTAGGAAAACATGCAGCGCTGCCGTCTGCGTCTGTAGAGCATCGCTGCATTCCTGCACGTATATCTTAATTAATTTAGAGAGTTATTTATTATCTTAATTAATGCTTGATTGAGATAATTAAAGTTGGGAAGACATTGCTGCCGTCTGCGCCTGTAGAACATCGCTGCATTCCTGCACATACACGTTAATTAAATTAGAGGGTTATTTATTATCTTAATTAATGCTTGATTAAGATGATTTAAGTTAGGAAAACATGCAGCGCTGCCGTCTGAGTCTGCAGAGCATCGCTGCATTCCTGCATGTACATGTTAATTAATTTAGGGGGCTATTTATTATTTTGATTAATTCTTGATTAAGATGATTAAAGTTGTGAAGCCATTGCTAATTTTAGTCTCCTCTATTAATTCTTAATTAGGATAATTAAAGTTGGGAAAACATCGCTAATTTTAGTCTCCTCTATTAATTATTGATTAAGATAATTAAATTTAGGAAAACATCGCTAATTTTAGTCTCCTCTATTAATTCTTGATTAAGATAATTGAAGTAAAAAAATATCGCTAATTTTAGTCTCCTCTATTAATTTTTGATTAAGATAATGTTAAGAAACATAGTTAATCTCAATTTCGTATTTGTTGTGAAGGAGATCGAAGCAAGCGATATATAATGAGATAAAAAAAAAACAGAAATCGTATTGACATAATATTTGTGTTACTAAAAGTATCTGCCACACGTCTGTCAGAGAACTTGGATGCGACGAAGAGACTAATTATTTTCATGAAATATTTCTATTTTAAATAATTTCAGTGATGAAGAAAGCTTGATCCAAAAGCTGGTTGTTTTGATGAAGACTGAAATGAGTTAAATAGAACTATACTACTGTTGGGGCCAGAGTGATGGTGCGACAACGTCTTGTTTCAAACTTACAATTCATTAAAATCTCCGTATATATCTAATTTCCTCGAGACGCTTGCTATGAATAACACTCAATACATTATTCTTGCCAGATAACGAGTAATTATTCCAAAACTTCAGTTTTTGCACAAAAATTTCGTTTCAAACTTTTCATTCTGAATACGTAATTTTTGTATCGAATTATCTGAACTAAGGCTGAACCAATAACTAATAATAGTTATACAAATCATATGTATAAAGCAGGTGTCACTTTACCTTACACTGAGCAGTCAAGCAAAAATATTTTTTCGAACTTGGCATTCACTATCCAGTATAATTTTTGTATCGAATTTCCTGAACTACGGCTGAACTAGTAACTAATAATAGTTATACAAATCATATGTCTAAAGCATATGTCACTTTACCTTACACTGCGCTGTCAAGGCTGTAACTTGTTCATTTGCAGCCTTCAGCTCTCTCTCCTCCTTCACTAGTCTTTCCTTCGCTTGCTCGTGCGCTGTTTTGAGAGCCTGCAACTCTTCCTCGAGCTGTTTGCACTCATCACTCTTCGCTGAGAGTTCCTTCAGACATATTTCTGAGGTCACGGTGAGCTCTTCATTCTTCTTCACGAGCTCGTCACTCTTTTTCGTGAGCTCTTCATTTTTCTCCACGAGCCCGTCACTCTTTTTCGTGAGCTCTTCATTCTCTTTCACGAGCTCGTTTTTCTTTTCAGTGAGCTCTTCATTCTTCTTCACGAGCTCGTCACTCTTTTTCGTGAGCTCTTCATTCTCCTTCACGAGCTCGTCACTCTTTTTTGCAAGCTCTTCATTCTGTTTCACATACATTTCTGCCTTCTGTAAAAGCTTTTCTCGCTCAGCATTCAAAGCTACGATCTCAGGCGTGAATTTCTCAGAGTCCTGAGACGCGTTTAATAGACGCTCTTTAAGAGCAGCGTTCTCAGATATCAGTTCATCAGATTTTTGTTTCAAACTATGTAACTTTTCTTCATTATTCACGCTGGCTTCTTCAAAATATTTTAATTTTTCTTCAAGTTCCTTTGCAACTTCAGAGGCTTTTAAATTTGAAATATTATCTTCCTCAAGTTTTTTCAATTTATCATGCAGTTCGATCTTCGAATTTTCAAGATCATGGATTATTTGGGAACTTTGCACATTTCTTTCTTGTAAAACTCTTAGTTGTTCAGTCAACCTCTCGTTGGTAGCATGTGCCTGCTTGAGTTTCTTCAGATTATTCACGTTCTCCGTCTCAATAGCAACAAACTTTTCGCTCATTGCTTCCTTCTCAGAACTCAATGCCTCGACCTTCTGCTCATCTTCCAGCTCAGCTTGGCTCATCTCTAATATGAGCCGCTCGTTCTCCTGCTCAACGGCCAGAATTTTTTCTCGTAATTCAGATACCTTTGAAGACAAATTCTCCTTCTCTTCCAAGACAGACTTTAACTTCGAGTCCAACTCGTTTTTCTCAGCAGTTTCTACACGTAATTTCTCATTGGCAAAATCATTTTCGGCTTTTAGAGATGACATTTCAGCAATTTTATGTCGCAGATCTTCATTACAACGATTTTTTTCTTCTTTTATGGCTTCGAGTTGGCATGTTAAATTTGAATTTTCGGTTTGCAAATCACCCAATTTAGCTTCAAATTCGTTCCTCACTTTTTCGAGCTCTTGCTTCACATTATCAGCCGCTACTTGACGCTCCAAGTCAAGTTTTTCCAGGGTTTCAATTCTAGATTTCGACTCAAATAACTTGCACTCGAGTTCAGTAAATTTACGCGCCGTTTCTTCAGAACTTTCCGACGACAACGCCAGTTGATCACGTAAAATCTGCAGTTCATGTTTGCGTGACAAGAGCTCATGATTTTTTTCTGTGATGCTTTCTTCCAATTCTTGTACTTTACTTTTCAAATCTTCGCATGTCTGTTCTTTTTCCTTCAGGAAATTCTTCACTTCAGATACTTCTTTTTCCATTTCTTCTTTAAAAGTTAAATCCTCTTCACGCTGCCGTTTCAAATCTTCACATTCTTCTTCTAGAGCCTTCCATTTACACGAAAGTTGTTCATTTTCCTTGGAAAGATTGTCTATCTGCTTTAGGAACTCGTCCTTGTCGTCCTGAATTTTCATGCCAGTTGCCTTCACTTCATCCTCAATTTCAGCGAGTTTTTCATTCAATGATTCCTTCAACTCTCTTTCTTGTTTCAGTTCCATCTCTAAGCCTTGCAACTTCCTAACGAAGTCTTCATTATCAACTCTGAGTTTATCCTTTAACTCAACGATTTCTTTATTACCCAACTCAACTTGCTCTTGCAGAGCAGAAGTCTCAGCGGAACTGCACTCAAAAGAGTTCAATTTGTGTTGGAGAAGAGCGACTTCTTCCAAAGCCTTCATCTTCTCTTGTGCACTTAATTCTAGTGCTTCAGAGTGAGCGATTCGTATTTCTTCAGCGTCTTTAGAAGTAGTATCGCGTAGAGTTATTATTTGGTTAAGTAATTCATGCTTATAGTTCTTTAGAGCATCAATATGGGACTTGAGGTCGGAAATTTTGTCTTCATTCGCCTTTTGCAGGGTTGAGTTTAGAGAAGCCTGCTTTTCGAATGCGAGTAATATAGCATTCATTTGTCCCAACAAGTCATCTTCTTTGCCTTCAGCCGATATGTCACTAGCCAAATTCTGACTCAGTATGCTAGAAACTGCAGGAAACTTAGAATCTTCAGCACAAAAGCAAAGTTTAAAGTTCTCAGTGATGCAAGATAGGCGGTGTTCCATGGACTGAATCTGAGACGCATAATTTTCAACCGTTTTAGTTAGTTTTTTGTTTTCTTCACGCATGGTCTCTAAACTTTCAGTTGTGTCTTTAACACAGGCCGATTCATTTTGAACTTCATTAAGCAACGATGCTATTTTGTCTAAATGAAGTTTATTTTCATTTTCTAATTTTTCCAAGTTTTTAGTCAACAAAGCAACTTTGTCCTCTAAAGCTGTCATCTTGTCAGCGCGAGCTGCTAGCATGTCTTCGGCCGCGGTGAGGTCATTTTTTAATGCACGCTCTGTGTTTCGTAAACTTTGCTGAAGAGTTTCGATTTCTTGATTGAGATTAACGATTGCACTTTCATCCTCATAATTTTTCGTCTGGGTTCTTTTCAATTGTTCTGCTAATTCTCTGTTAGAATTTTTCTCGACCAGAAGCTCCTGCTTAAGCCGCTCGTTTTCTTCACTCGTAGCGATAATGCGCACAGCTTGCGTTTCTGTCTGAGCTTTGAGCGCCTGAATTTCCCCATCATAAAGAGCATATTTTTCGTTGGCATCAAACACCATTTGTTCTAAATTATTCTTCTCTTCCTCGTGCTTCTCTATCTTCTCGCGGAGCTCATTGACCAACGCTTCGCTCTGCTCCAGTGCGTAATCGATGCTCTTGTGAGGCATATGAAGAGGTTTGCTTTCGACCAAGGCACGTTCGAGTTCATTGATTCTAGCCCGCAAAATAAGGATTTCGTCCATCGAAGAGCCGTTGTCACTCACAGTTACACACTCCGTGATCTCTTCCGTTATTTCTGTAGCTTCGCCTTTCTCTTTAATATCGCTCAGAATTCTTTCATACTCGTCACATTTCTTTTCAAGCTCCAACGTCTTGCATTTCAGTTCCGTTATAATAACCTCTTTGCCATCGTCTGCTTCCGCGGGGTTTTGATGATATTCGCCTTCATCGTTAATTTCTTTACTTTCCTGTATGACGGTAAGCTCATGCTTCAAATTGTCAATGATCTTCTCTTTATCATCCATTCTGGTTTGCTTCTCTTTGCATTCCAGTCGCAGTTGTTTTATCTCAGTCGTGAGTTGTTTTGTCGTCTCTTCAAGTTGCTTCTGTCGATTTTTTGATTCCTCGAGAATAATTTCGTTTGCTTTCTTTTCGGCAAGAATTGCTTTAGCTTGTTTCGTAGTCTCCTCCCACTTGCTCTTCTCGTCCAACAACTTCTTGCATTTGGTTTTCAGGACCTCAATTTGGCTTGTTTGTGCCTCTAGATTTTCAATTTTGCCCTGGAATATGCCATCAAGTATAAATTAACTGGCAGGTATGGATATTTTACATGATGATCCATTAGATAGCTAATAAAAGATATGGACTGTAAAATTTCAATAAGCTGCAAGCGTATAATGATAAACGCATCATATTCACAATCTTTATAAAAAATATCAATCGGAACGAACTAATTTGTATAAGAAGGAAGTAAAGAACTGGGTACATAAAATCAGATAATTGATGACAAATCCTAAAACAACCTCAAAGTATCCTTGTAAAGTGACGAAATTAAAAGGTAAAAATAACAAGTGTAAAAATCAATGTAATAATATTTCAACGAGTACCTATGAGCTGAAATAAACGACAAAAAATCTACATCACGTAAATTGTAGCACCAACCAGAAGCTGTTCGTTTCTCTCTCGCTCAGCCAGCAAATTTTTCTCGAAACGCTCTTTTTTCCTCGCAATTTTGGCCTGATAAACCTGGACCTGCTCCAGAGCCTGCTGCTTCTCCTGCAGCAGTCTATCCTGCACAGACTGCGCGGCCTGCAGCTCTGATGCAGACAGGTTCAGCTGGCGCTGCAGAGATTCCGTCTGTAAGGGAAAGTGCATGTTATGAGAAGTTCATTTTAACATAAAGTTCATTTTAATGGAAAGTTCGTTTAAATGGAAAGTTCATTTTAATAGAAAGTTTATTGCAATGGAAAATTCATTTTAATGGAAAGTTCATTTTAATGGAAAGTTCATTTCAATGGAAAGTTCATTTTAATGGAAAGTTCATTTTAATTGAGAGGTCATTTTATTATTGGGTCAACAATAATGGGTAAAAATTATTGGGTCAAGAATAATGGGTAAAAATTATTGGGTCAACAATAATAGGTAAAAATTATTGGGTCAAGAATAATGAGTAAAAATTATCGAGTCGCCAATAATGGGTCATAATTATTAGATCAACAATACTGGGTCAAAATTATTAGATCAACAATACTGGGTCAAAATTATTGAGTAAACAATATATTGGGTCTCCCGTTTGAAGCCTGCCGCCATGCGACTGTAAGGCAGAGGTCTGTTCAAGGAAAAGCATGAAAAATCTACGTTTTCCTGAACGACGTTTGCAAGTCAGGCCTGCTATAAAAAATAAATATTACTAAGAAACGTCTGAGGATTCTGTGAGCGAAAAAAAAAACCATCGAAAGCGATGTGTTAGAGAACAAAAAGTAATGAACCATCGAAGAAAGAATTATTGAGCCAAACTTAGGCAAACCTCAACTTTTTCCGTGATTATGTCCGATTTCAGACAAATTAAAGGTAAAATTACTTCACATCAATTAAGATGACAATTTAGACAGATGAAAGACATCAAAATACTCCTATTAAACATAGAGCTAATTAGCTAAATCAATGTGTAATTAAAATGAATTGCAGTTCATCACATCAAGCTTAGATAACGTACGGTAATATTCACCAATTCAAAATTTCAAATACATCATTTTTTAACACGTGAAGCATAGTAATTTTTTTACAATAATTCCCGAGTAAAGCACTCTCTTCATACCATTAACGTCAAAAACTTTCTCATTTTCAAAAACTTACGCGGGAAAAATTTAGCGCAGAAAATCATATATTTTCTTAGAATTCTTGACTGCAACATTCATGATCCCAACAATCCACTATGAAACCTTCTACTTGCGTGCAATTCATACTGAAAAAATTATTTCTACAGACACAATTCACGCGACAAACCTATTATTATGAAATAACGTCGAAAACCTATAATTTTCGCACAATGCAACCTGAAAAATATTTCCGAAATATTAGAGCTAAAAACCTACTGTTTTTCAAGAAATAACTCAGAAAACCTTATATATGGCCAAAATTGAGCCGAAAACGATAATTCTGCCGAAATAACGTCAACAATTTTCTTTATCCTAGTTCAATTCAATAATTATCAATTCGAGATACGTATACCTGTTCAGTGAAAACTTGATACGTGGCAAAAATCCAGCACGACACATTCAGGCTAGACTATATATCAACAACAATCCGACACATAACGCACTAATTGACCCAGTCATGAGAATGTCTGTCATGAATGAGTTGCTGGCGATGAACAACACGCACTTAGCTATGTAAATTAAAGGGTTTAACAGAGACGATATAATACAACAACTGGTCTCAGCAGAGCCACGTTTGCACTGAGCAACGTTCAGCGGTACAGGTGTAAGATAAGATGCGGACGTGTACGTATTCGTGTCGGTGCGTGTGCATGTGTACGTATTCGTGCCGGGTACTGTGAGTCGGTGCGTGTGCGCTAGTATACGTGTCTCTCAGTATACGTATAGGTCGGTACGTGTACGTCATTCATGTAAGTCTGAAAATATATAGGTATTCTTGCACGTCAGTGCGTATAAGTAAGTACGCGTTTGCCAGTGTGTGTACCGATTGCGTGCGTGTACGTCAGTACGTGTACACCTGTGTGAGTACTTCAGTACGTGTACGCCATTGCGTGTACGTCAGTACGTGTGCGTATGCCAGTGTATGCACGTCAGTACGTGTACTTACACGACTATACATCAATGACACGCACACCATTACATTTAAAGGCATGCAAATAATTATGAAGTAAATATAAATGCATGGTATATAAATATATATATACCATGCAAATAATTATCAAGTGTTCCGAGAGAAAAATTATTGAGCGAGTACAAGGAAGAGCGAACAAATTATAGAGGCGATCACGAATAAAGAAATAATTATTGACTGAGATTAATGGAGTATTAATACATTATATTAATCACCTCACTGAACACTGTACAGTCGAGTTATTATTTTATGGGCACAAGATTTGGCTTTAAATTTAGCCATTAAAAATGGCACGATAGTATAGATTAATGATGCGATTATTGACACAGTTTAAAGTAATGTAAAGGAAAACATTTACTGCAGCTTGGTCAAGGTAAATATTTATGCTCTAAAGAAGTAATTATTTAGAGATTGTATCAAACAAATACATTATGTCACAGGTCATAGCATATCTATAACAAAATGCAATAATTGTATAGATTATAAAACTTTGCAAAATATTTTTAACCCTGATCTGTGAGAATCATGTTCAGAATGCAGTTTAATTTCATTACTTTCAGCTCAAGATCTTTCGGTTTAGAAATGAACAATTGACAGGCAGAGCAAAACAACAAAAGTAATGTAAATATTTTGACATGGTTAGTGATAGCTTGTGTGTACCTGACATAACAATACAACTGGAGCGATGTAAATAAAAAGTTTTACAATTGTTTTTTTCAAATTGGTATGGGTATCTTTTTTTAAATTGGTATAAAAAACTACAACACAATTTTTTTTCACATGCCAGCCAGCCACTAAAATGCAGGTTAGACCCTTTTACAAAATTTTTCAAACAGTGTAGGTAATACTCAGAGCTCGAAGACAAGAAAATTACCTAAATAAAGCACAGCAGTCTAAAGTTATGCTTACCTTGGTGACAGATCCTTTGACAAAAATTTTCAAACAGTTTAATACTGGTAGTCAGAGCTCAAAGACAAGAAAATTACCTAAATACATCATTCAAAAGTTACTGTATAGGTACTTACCTTGGTGATCAGGGCCACCTTGCCCTCTGTCAGGTTGTCGACCATCTCAAGGAGAGCTTCATTTTCCCGCCCCGAGTTTTCTTTCAGTTTCTGCAACTCGGTTACCGCTTCTGTTCAAAATATGATGTTAAAGTAAAATTTCAATGCCATTCATACAGCTTGTTAACAGTTAGCAAATCATGTTCAGCTCAAGTAGGTCAACCATAAAACTGACTTGTAAAATTTCAATGAACAAAATCAAGAAATTTCATGGCTTTAGCCAAGATCATAATACCTAAACATTTTTATTTCATTTTAATTCAAGGTACAATCCCTTAGGCTAGTTCAGGTGATTCAACATCACAAAAATTCAAAATCGTTTGTTTTTGCCCTATTCTCATACAAGTAAGATTCCTTCAGAAGCAGACTTTACTCACCATCTTTGGCAGCTTTGGCCTTTTGGGCAATGACAATGAGGTTCTTGCATTTGGTAAGCAACTCTTCCTTGGACAACTTGTCCAGAGGATTGCGTGGTTTTGCACCAGCACTTTCAGGAGGTTCAGAGGAGCTGCCACCACCCTCGTCAGTAATATTACTTGAATTATTCATCATACAAAAGGGTCTTCAATGTGTGATAATTCAAAATACAAGAATCAACTTTGATCATCTGGAAAGATAGCTTGAATGTTATTTTTGTCCCATTCTTCAAATTCCAGGCTGATTAGGTATGATGAACTTTAGTTCTTTAATCTCAAGTCTGTTGAGATTACAGTTAATATTTGTAGAACCAGTAAAAATAGGTAGCACACTACTGACCAACAACAGCAACTGAGTAGATTTAGTTGGAATTCATCTAAACATGTCATCAGTTTATGTGATAATTTATAAGGATTGCAATTTAGTCACTTTTTACTTTAGAAGGGACACTTGGAATAAAACTTAATTTTAAAACATTTGAAGCATGCCGAGTGTACTCATCCATTACTAACAGTACTCTGAACTCTGAAGTCCTCCTCTTTCATTGTAGATGATGTAGAGGTAGAACAAATGACATTTTCTGTAGTTTTTACTTGTTTTTCATTTATTGATATGATATTACCATATACATTAATTACCATATTATTGATGTGATATTACCATATCGATAAACAGGCCATTGAGCATTTCAACTACCTTGTCCACTGCAAGCTTCATATCAGCAGCCTTATAGCATTTTTTCTGTATCTGTAAGCTTACTGGACGGCTTGTAATTTCACACCATTTTAATTGGGTCAAATGAATTTACTATAAAAAAAATTGTGAAAAACATACCTGAAACAGAAAGGAATGTTTTAGTGACAACCATCATATGTTTTGGAGAAATAAATCATAGTTTAGGTCAGTTATTTTCTTTTCAATGATGCCTGGTGCTAGGGTTGGCGATTTTATTGATTTTTTTTAAATAAAAAAAAATAAAAAATCAATTATTTGTTTATTTTTTCATGATTTTTTTATTTATTTAATTTTTTTTTTATTTTTTCAACTTTTTTGTCTTTTTGAAGTTTTATTTTTTATGTTGCAATTAGCCTAGTAACAATAACAGTATATGGATCATAATGGATGGCTAAAAAGGGCACTTATTGCCTTCAATAACGGCAACAGGCCAAGCTGGTGTTTACCACTTTAACTGGCTTCAATATACAAAAACACTTCAGGAATGCAGATCTTAGGAACATTGAAGAGTCACATTACAGATAGGTAGCTAATAGCACAGTGCACAGCACTAGCAATAGATCCACTAGTTTAATGTCCTAAAAATCTACCAGACTCTACCCCCTATACACACCGACTAGTAGTGACTGTAGCTGATAGCACAGTGCACAGCACTATCAATAGATCTACTAGTTTTATGTCCTATAAAT